TACACTATTTCTAAAAACATTAATCTATGTCTAGATTTATTAAAAGAATCTCTGCTAGTTATAAGATCTTTACGAAGTTTCGTGCGAATAGACACGTCTCTCTCTCTCTCTCGATAACTTGGACCACTCGAAATCTAGTTTTGGAACAAGGATCACGATTGCTTTGACCTTTTGGGTTTGTCATAGGACGTTTTATTTGGTCGGTACAATCGTAACCTCTAAGAATTATCACTTTACTTACACTTGTTTTTCGTTTTGTCTGTCAGTAATTATGCATATGGATTTTTTTTTTTTTTGAACATTTGCTTTGCATATGGATATTTGAATGTTGAATCATCATCCTATATAGCTTGTAGTTTGTACAACTATACAAATTTTAACTACAAATGCTAACTCGTGTCGTAAAATCACTATGGTGTTATATGTTTGTCTGACTATATGAATATTTACATATGTATATATATATATATATATATTATGGTTAGTGCTGAGATAATAATATGGGCTATATTATATAATATGGCAATGCAGTTTTTATCTAAATTCACGGTATTTTTAGTATGCACGTAGGTTTATGTTTGGATACATAAATATCCAAAGAATATCCGTAGAACAGTTAGCATAAATTCCCACCACTATCTCATATTTCATTATCAGTTATAAAGTTATGCTTTTATTCAAAGTAGAGCAATTTCATTTTCATACTAATATATTATATTAATCATGGCACTAATGATTAATGAATAATAGTATAGTTGATATAGATTATGATGCTGCCAGTCTACCACTGACGATAATGAAATTGCAGAACATAAAACATGTGGTTCGAGTTCATCTAGAGGATTTGACTACATCATGCAAAATAATATATGCGTACGTAGGAATCTTCTTTGCCATACGCATACAGTTGTTTGTTCTTCTCTCAGATTAAAATGTATATCACTTATATACTGCATTACCTATACAATGTAAGAGAGTCTAAGAAAAGGACAAACTATATATAGATATGGGTTGGTAAAAAAATTAGTGGATAGCGTTAAATATATAAAATTAAATGAGAGCGAATTTATTTGATATATATACATCTGATATTAATGAAGAAACACTTAATATATTGGTCTATTTCTTTCTTCGTCCGACTCTTGAAGAAATTAAAAGGTTATATACAAAACTTGCATTGCCCTTTCACATTTTCTAAAGCTCAAATAGCCTTTAATAATATCGTTTTGATGCATGTTTACATGATTTATACAATATGGCATATATATTGTACGCCTCATAAAACGAGAAAAACTTAATATTCCATATATATGTATATATATGAAAATACTATTAAAAGTTGTAAAGTTTATAATGCCTTGGAACTGAAATAGTAAGCAGATAAATTAAGGTATATAAGAAAAATGATAAAATATATCATCAAACTTTTGCGTATTTAGATTAATTCTGTAAAAATCTTGCGTAGTATTTTGATTCACACTTCAAACAGAATTTTCTTTAAGTTAGTTGGTAAAATGGCCAAAGTGACACACGATTTAGAAGCTATCACCACAAAATCGATAGATGCCCAAAGTACAGATGCACAAAAATGCTCATGAAGGCCAACTTTAGGACTAGGCGAATTTGACATAAAATAGTTGAATTCGATTTAATCGAATTCTAATTCATTTAGTATAACAATTCAATTTGTAAAACATTCAATTTCATTTATGTGATTTAAAATAATAATTTGTTTCCGGAAATTTAGAACGATGGGGTATATTGGATAAAATAATTCTCGGTTATATGATTCTATCTGTCTTGGGATTTATAATTTGATACGATAAGGCCACTGATAAAATAAATTGATACGATAAGGTCTTTATCTGATTCTATTTAAATCCGTCGGAATCTTTGGTTGGCCATTTATTCTTAGATTCGAGAATCAAACAAAGAAAATAAAAAGAATATATTTAAATACTGGTTAAAAACCATATGCGAAGACCATAATAGATCAAAATTAAAAATTGACTTATATTTCTGGCTCCTTCCACAGTTCTTGAGGGCTTTTCTTCTTTTCACCAAATACTTTTGCTTTCTAAAACAAGAAAACTCTTTAACCAAAATTAAAAGAAAAAAAAAACTCATTACTCATTTTCTAGGGTTGTTGGTAAATAATAATAGTGTTTACCTTGAATCCCTGATCAGATCGAATCTCATACTTGTTTTGATAACTCAAAAGAAGTATATTGTTTTCATTTCTTTCTGTAATTATTTATCTTACAAGTATAAAAGAAATGAGAAGATAAACTTTATTACTTTTCTTCCTAAATATATGAATTATGAAGCAAATCAGCATATCCTTTGGCATATTCCTCATATGCCCGTAATTATTTATAGACTTTCAGTTTTTCTTAGATGCTTTCGTACAAAAGCATAAAATAAAATAAAACAAAAAGACAATGTATGATTTTTAGTTTCGTGAAATATTAAAAGAAGCCAAAACAGGAAAAAGGAAAAGTCGAATTGGTGACTCATCGGTCCACTTTAAAGTCACCAAGACCGTACACATGCAGTTTGGTCCCAGTCCCATTCCTAATTTCGTATGACGGACGAACGTACGATATTAAAGTTTCATTATTTACGCCTTTTGTTTAATAGATCACATATTCATTAGTCATTAGTTAGTTCATCACTCATGAAAATATATTACAGCATGTCTTCCTACAAATTTTACGGAACACAAACACAGATGAATCGTCGTAAACTTTATATATCAAATTTACATATAAATTTGTTTTAAAAAAATTACATATAAACACGTTCTAACTTTCCACTATATGGTGTGAAATTAAAACCTTTGGTGGTGAAACTTAAATCTGGATTTTGATGTACTGGATAATTTCAAGAGTCTATCTATTTTTATCACATTTCTGAAGCACTCAATTCTAGTTTTTTTTTTTCCTTTAAAAAACCAAAAGAAAATAAAACTCTAAAAATCTCCATCCATCCAAAACAAAGATGTTTATATTATGACCAAATCATTAATGATGGATAATTATGTTACTTATGTGTCTTATGCAGCGGCGGTTAGGTTAGATACTTATTTTTGTTGTTGTTGTTGTCAATCACACAGTTAAATCAAAAATCAACTATTCGATTGGTCATTTAATTCGAAAATAACATTTACAAAAGAAGTGTCTATACATATTGTTCTTTCTGGATGAATGTGTTAAAATACTATGTCCTAAATTTATGTAAGATACTTAGATCATAAAAAATATATGGTTGATTAAAAAATATTCTTATCTCTTGGAAAAACTATAATGTTTTAGGCCGTATGTAGATTGTAGTTTTTAGGAATGAAATAATGTGAAATTGAGAATTCCATGTAATTCTATAAAATTATTACCAATTACAAAGAAAAAAATGAAAAATTGTTTTACTTATTCCATTTATTCTGTAAATGAAATAATATTTTTTTTGGACAAATTATTCCATTTCAAAAATGCTAAAAATAAAAGGAATTCAATTTTCACTTCATTCCATATTTTTCTATTCCACATAAATTTATTCCTTTTTTACTGTCAATTTGTAATCTCATAAGAGTGAAATTAAAATGATACTAGGTATTTACTCGCGCTATACTGCTGGATATTTTTAAAATTTTGTATATATTTTTAATATAATAAAATTATTTTTGATAATGTAAATGAATATTATATTTTTTTCATTAGATGTATCTATGTGTTTTAAATATATATAAACATTATATATTTTATTTATTTATTTATTTTTCAAAATTATAATTTGCTATTAAATTTAGTTAGCTAACTAATTATAAATGTATATTAGGAATAAAATATATAAAAATAAAGCAATACATTTTTAGTACCTTCATGCTAATGGCAAATGTAATCTATTTTCTCCAATCAATTGCCACATGATCCTTCTTTGTAATTATATAAAGCAAAATATCATTTAAAAAATATTTATTAATTAACATGATTATTTTGAATTATAAAATTTATTTATTTATAAAATATTTTATTATAAATATATGTTTCTAAAACTACCAAACTATAATCAATAATATTCATATCAAAACCATTGTTATTGCTTTATGACTAAATAGAAAATTATGTTTGAACTCTTAAAATATAGTTTTAGTTAAAGTTAAATAATTAAATTTTGGTTATTGTAAACATACTTTAACTTAGAAATTTAGCATAGAGAAATTTCATCTTCTTACAAAAATCGAAAAATCGCATTTCTCGTCAAAACAAAAAAAACTTCATTTTCTCATTAAACTGAAAAATCGGCTATTCCGCCAAAACCAAAAAATTCCCTCGAAAACAAAAATTTATCGTCAAGACCAGAATTACGCTTTCTTATAAAAACAAATAAACTACAATTTCCCGCGAAAATCAAAAATTGCTTTATATCCTGTGAAATTGTGTTTTCCCGCGAAAACTAAGAAATTGTTATGTTTTTATCTGTTCAAATTTTTGCTGATGTGTGAGCTTCTTAAAACATAATGCTTTTTGTGTTATTGTCATAGAAGCATAGTTGATGCTGAGCCTACATTTTTTCAATCATATATGTCTATGTCAAACAAACTGATAGCTATAATTTTTTTATTATTATTTATTTATTGTTATTTATTATTTAGATTTAGATTTGATAAAAAAAAGAAAACAATAATTTAACTTTTTATTTGTTTTTATTTATTATTTGGGTTTAGATTTGGCAAAAAAATAAAATTATTAATTATTTGGGTTTGTGTTTGGTAAAAAATAAAACAAAAATTAATAGAAAAAATATTTGGGTTTTTAATGGGTTTAAATTTAAAAATTAAAATAAATAGATGAGATGTATTAATAAAATATTTTAATTGGTGATTATTTTTGTTGAGATGTCATGTTTATAAAATTTAAAAAAATTGAGGTGGCAACTTTAGTATTATTGTTGTGTTGATTAGTAATAACATTTTTTTGTAGAAAAAATATAGAGTTTCGGCTATAAATAAGATACAACTACATATCGAATGGTCTAGCTTTGGCTACTGAGATTTTTCCAAGGCCTTGAAATCTCTTTTTAGAAAAACTGTCAAACTTTATCGCCTGACTCTTCCGTTCCCATCGTCTTCCTCGTGAACGAAACTTCTCGATCTTCTTTCTTTGTTCACCTGTTTTTGTGTGTTCACGAGACACTTCCACTCTCCTACGCCACTTCTTTTTTCGACCCCTTTTTTTTATTTTTAATTTCCCCATATTCCGTTATTAATCTAAAGGTGAATCTTTTCGTTTGACGTGTTTCATTTCCAGCTTTATCGGATTATATTCTCCTTGATTTTCGCCGATTGTGTCAATCTGGAAATTTCTGGGGATTTAAAAGGGGTTCTGATTAGATTTGGGGACTAAGAGTTAAAAGGGAGAGAGAGAGAGAGAGAGAGAGAGAGAGAGAGAGAGAGAGAGAGAGAGAGAGAGAGAGAGAGAGAGAGAGAACACTCAACCATGGCTACGGGAAATTTGAAGAAAATGGCTTCCATTGATGCTCAGCTCAGGCTTATTGCTCCTGGGAAAGTCTCTGAAGACGACAAGCTTGTGGAGTACGATGCACTGTTGTTGGATCGATTTCTGGATATTCTTCAGGACTTGCATGGCGAGGAAGTCAGAGAATTCGTAAGTTTCCTTTCTCTCTGAGATCAGTCTCACTCTTTCTTAACTCGTTATCTACAAAGTAGAACAAAGAGTTTGTGTTAAAAGTCTGAACTTTTATCTTTATCAACAAAAAAAATCTGAACTTTAAGATACTTTTAGGGTTGCCCATCAGTAAATCATGATGTGGTTTGTGGTTTCTGCTTAAATCATCCCGAAATTTCAAACCTTTTTGTATGTGAAATTGGGCAAATCAGAACACAGTGACACACACACTGTTCTACACTGAGTTTGTATCTGAATCAGAAGATAATGTTTTTGTTTTTGTCCAAAGGTTCAAGAATGCTACGAGGTTGCTGCTGATTACGACGGAAACCGCAACACGGAGAAGCTAGAGGAGCTTGGAAACATGCTGACGAGTTTGGATCCAGGGGATTCGATTGTTGTCACAAAATCATTCTCCAACATGCTTAGCTTGGCTAATCTGGCTGAGGAAGTCCAGATTGCTTACCGGCGCAGGATTAAGAAGCTTAAGAAGGGCGACTTCGCCGACGAGGCCTCTGCGACAACGGAGTCCGACATTGAAGAGACTCTCAAGAGGCTCTTGCAGCTTAACAAGACCCCTGAAGAGGTCTTTGATGCTCTCAAGAACCAGACTGTTGACTTGGTGTTGACCGCTCATCCGACTCAATCTGTTCGTCGGTCTTTGCTCCAAAAGTTTGGAAGGTTTGTAATCTCTTTTCAAAGTCCTGACATTTCGATTCTTGTGATTTTGTTTCACTGATGTGTTCTCTTTTCGATGTTTTTTTAGGATTCGTGATTGTTTGACACAGTTATATGCAAAGGACATTACTCCTGATGATAAGCAAGAACTCGATGAAGCTCTGCAACGAGAGGTATATACTCAACTAAATAACTCCATAAAGCTTCTTCTTTTTTTTATTGCATAAAATTTTACTAAAACTCTGTTTTTGTTGTACCAGATTCAAGCTGCTTTTCGAACAGACGAAATCCGGAGAACTCCTCCTACACCGCAAGATGAAATGAGAGCTGGTATGAGCTACTTCCATGAGACAATCTGGAAAGGAGTTCCGAAATTCCTGAGACGTGTTGACACGGCTTTAAAGAACATTGGAATCAACGAGCGTGTTCCTTACAACGCACCTCTGATTCAATTCTCTTCTTGGATGGGAGGAGACCGTGATGGTACAACACTCTTCACTTCTTCCTTCTCTTTGAACTGTTGGAAACGTGAATTGGTTCTAATGATTGGAAACGTTTCTGGATCCAGGAAATCCGCGAGTAACTCCTGAGGTTACAAGAGATGTATGCTTATTAGCAAGAATGATGGCTGCTAATCTCTACTTCTCCCAGATAGAAGATCTTATGTTCGAGGTAACGAAATGTTATATATATCATAATGTTTCTTGGTTGTTAATGCTAATGACAGAGAAACTCACTTTTTTCGGTTTTGTGTGTTTGTTTGCAGATGTCTATGTGGCGTTGCAATGAAGAACTTCGTGTTCGTGCAGAACGTCAAAGGTGTGCGAAGAGAGACGCGAAACACTATATAGGTGCGTGTTACCTTCTGGCTAGTTTTAGATGTGTCCGGTTTGTTGAATTATGTTTGATGTATGACCGGTTCTTTGGATGGTTGTAGAGTTTTGGAAACAAATTCCTTCGAATGAGCCATACCGAGCTATTCTCGGAGATGTTAGGGACAAACTGTACAACACACGTGAGCGTGCGCGTCAGTTATTGTCGAGCGGAGTTTCAGACATTCCTGAAGACGCTGTTTTCACAAATGTGGACCAGGTGTGTTTTCTTGCTCTTTGCAGATCCAGTAGGCGTGTTCCAAGATTGTAGTAAACTGAATCCAAACTGATGCATAGTTGATTTGATATGGTACACTAAGATCAAACATTGTTTCTTGATTTATTGGCTTCTCTAAGTTTCTAACCTTTGATTTGTTTCTGTTTCGTTCCAAAGTTTTTGGAGCCGCTTGAGCTTTGCTACAGGTCGCTATGTGATTGCGGTGACAGACCTATCGCTGATGGAAGCCTGCTCGATTTCTTGCGCCAAGTGTCAACATTCGGGCTTGCGCTTGTGAAACTTGATATCCGTCAAGAATCTGACAGACACACCGATGTATTGAACGCTATCACAGAGCACTTAGGCATCGGATCTTACAAAGAATGGTCAGAGGATAAAAGGCAGGAGTGGCTCTTATCTGAGCTAAGCGGGAAACGCCCTCTCTTTGGACCGGATCTTCCCAAAACCGAAGAAGTAGCGGACGTATTGGACACTTTCAAAGTCATCTCAGAGCTTCCTTATGATAGTTTCGGTGCTTATATCATCTCAATGGCCACTGCTCCATCAGATGTGCTCGCTGTTGAGCTCTTGCAACGTGAATGTGGGATCACTCATCCTCTGAGAGTCGTCCCGTTGTTTGAGAAGCTAGCGGATCTAGAGAACGCTCCGGCTTCAGTGGCTCGTCTCTTCTCCATAGAATGGTACAGAAACAGGATCAACGGTAAGCAAGAAGTCATGATCGGGTACTCCGACTCTGGCAAAGACGCCGGCCGTTTATCCGCGGCTTGGCAGCTGTACAAGACTCAAGAAGAGCTCGTGAAGGTTGCGAAAGAGTTCGGAGTCAAGCTCACGATGTTTCACGGGAGAGGTGGGACTGTAGGGAGAGGAGGAGGACCGACTCATCTTGCTATCTTGTCTCAGCCTCCGGACACCATTCACGGTCAGCTGAGGGTAACGGTTCAAGGAGAAGTCATCGAACAGTCTTTCGGAGAGGAGCACTTATGCTTCAGGACTCTTCAGCGTTTCACGGCGGCTACACTCGAGCACGGGATGCATCCACCGGTTTCCCCTAAACCAGAGTGGCGCGTCCTCATGGACGAAATGGCTGTAATCGCCACTGAAGAGTACCGTTCTGTCGTCTTCAAGGAGCCTCGTTTCGTCGAGTACTTCCGTCTGGTAAGTTCTTAACCAACTGATCACTCTCCCTTCAGCAAATTTAGAAGCTAAAACTTGTTTGTGTGTTTGTGTTTAATAGGCCACACCGGAGCTTGAATATGGAAGGATGAACATAGGAAGCCGACCGTCAAAGCGAAAACCGAGCGGAGGAATTGAATCTCTACGTGCAATCCCGTGGATCTTTGCTTGGACTCAGACGAGGTTTCACCTGCCAGTGTGGCTAGGCTTCGGAGCCGCGTTCAAACGCGTGATACAGAAGGACGGGAAGAATCTCAACATGCTCAAGGAGATGTACAACCAGTGGCCTTTCTTCCGCGTCACGATCGATCTCGTCGAGATGGTTTTCGCCAAAGGAGACCCCGGGATCGCCGCTCTCTACGACCGTCTCCTCGTCTCCGAAGAACTCCAGCCGTTTGGTGAACAGCTTCGAGTTAACTACCAAGAAACCAGACGCCTCCTCCTCCAGGTATATAGCCTTGCTTCTCTTCCACTATATAGAAACCACGCGAAAACGCTAACTAAACCGTCTTTCACTTGTCAGGTTGCGGGTCACAAGGACATTCTAGAAGGTGATCCATACTTGAGGCAAAGGCTGCAGCTACGTGACCCGTACATCACGACACTGAACGTGTGCCAAGCCTACACGCTCAAGCAGATCCGTGACCCGAGCTTCCACGTCAAAGTCCGGCCACATCTTTCGAAGGACTACATGGAGTCTAGCAAACCAGCGGCTGAGCTCGTTAAGCTGAATCCTAAGAGCGAGTACGCACCGGGGCTTGAAGATACCGTTATCCTCACCATGAAGGGTATAGCCGCCGGTATGCAGAATACCGGTTGAAGGCATTTTAATTGTCATTCTACCGTCTTTGTTCTACTGTATTCCCTAAAGTCTCTGCTATGTATTATTATTTCTATGTTGTGTGATAATAATCTCTCTGAATCCTCCGTACCCTTTATAATGAGTATGATATTTTCTTTCTATTCAACTGTCATGTTATTCTTTCTATGTCAAGAATAAAAGAAAGAACTAAATAACTCAAATTTGATGTTGAGAGCAACTGTATTCTATTTTATATTGTATCTCTAAAATGTGAAAATTGTTGCGATTTTTGTTGTAGATCATTTAAATAATCTTCATGGTAAAAACTTTTTTCAATTGGCTTTTGAATTGACCTTGTGGTTCTTATGAATGATATTATATATATATATATATATATTTTTTTTTTTTTTTTTCAGAGACCAAATTTTAAGAAAATTGATTCAACTGATTTCAACGTGATTAAGAAGATCTAAATAAAAAGCAAAAATTATCTTTGTTTTATTTCTTTCAAAATTTACAACTGTGAGAATGTTTACCTATTCATTCAAAAGAATTATCATTCATTTTTTGAACTTTTTAATTTATGGGACGATTATTGGTGGTGTTGTTGCACCTGTTTTTGATATGCTTAATAGCTGGCTCCATGATGATAATTTGGATTTTGGAATGTGAAATTTTCAATTATGATGAAAGTTTAATTCATTTTTTTGGCTCCATTATTTGAGAAAATATTTTGGTTTGTTCACACAAATTAAAAAACAATTAATTTGTTAGTTATTAATAAGTTAATTTTTGTATACTAACTGCTTTTCAATAACTGTCAACAAATAACAATTTAACAATACAAATACTTTTAGTTAAAAAAAATTATAAGTATTCAATCTGTTAATATTTAATTAATAAAAGTATATTTAACTCTATAAAAAATCAAAATTTTATGAGAAAATATTAATCATGGGAAGATAAAGTACTATTAAAATGAGTGGACTGGTGGATAGAGATGATGACGTGTCATGAACCGGTTGGAGAGAGGAGAACCTATGGATCCCACGCGGAATATTATAAGGACATAAAATCATTTGCTGATAAGAACTAGTGAGTAATAATTACCCCGTTAAACCTGCGTTAATTACCGGTTTACCCCTACGCGCGGCTCAAAGATCTTCTTCTCTGTGTGGATTCTTTCTTCCGTCTGGAAAACCCCAAAAACAAAAGAACAGCGATCTTCGAGAACAGACTCGGATCAGTCGAAAAAAGCTTTGGAATTTGTTATCTGGATTTTTAAATCTATGGGTTCTGGGAAAGAGCGTGATACTTTCGTCTACCTCGCTAAGCTTTCTGAGCAGGCTGAGCGATATGAAGGTAAAGAATCTTGTACTTGTACTTCTTCTTCTTCTCTCTCAAATGGGTTCTGTGAATTTCTCGTAAGTATTTATTATTTGACATCTTCTTAGCTCGATTATATGTTTGGTTTTGCTGAATTTTTGATTTTATCAAAAGGGTTTTTGATCGTTTGGGTTGTGATCTTCAGAAGTCAATGGTTTTCGTTTTCGTATCGTTTTGATTGTATTAAAGTGGAGATTTTTTTCGGTTTTGAGCAAGGAATCGGATTCAATGATTTTGGCATTTTTTCCAGATTGGTATTGAAAAATGTGAATTTTGTTATTCACAGAAATGGTGGAGTCGATGAAAAATGTTGCGAAATTGAACGTTGATCTGACGGTGGAAGAGAGGAACTTGCTCTCTGTTGGGTACAAGAACGTGATCGGCTCAAGGAGAGCCTCGTGGAGGATTTTCTCGTCGATCGAACAGAAAGAAGCGGTGAAAGGGAACGATGTGAATGTAAAGAGGATCAAAGATTATATGGAGAAGGTTGAGCAAGAGCTTTCAAAGATATGCGTTGATATAATGTCTGTGCTAGACGAGCATCTGATTCCATCTGCTTCCGAGGGTGAATCAACTGTCTTCTTTAACAAGATGTAAGCCAATAATGCTCTTTGCTTCATGTTTTAAAACTCAAAAAGCTTAAAAAGTTGTGTTTCTAAAGATTTGTTTGAATTTTTGCAGGAAAGGTGACTATTATCGCTATCTTGCGGAATTCAAATCAGGGAATGAGAGGAAAGAGGCTGCTGATCAGTCTTTGAAAGCCTATGAGGTGATCTACTTGTGATCTATAGTGTTTATTGATCACTGGATATTCGCTTTAGTTTTGAGTTTTTCTTTTTGGGTTTCCTTTACACAGATTGCTACTACTGCTGCTGAAGCTAAACTCCCTCCTACACATCCTATCAGATTGGGTTTAGCATTGAATTTCTCTGTCTTCTACTACGAGATCATGAACTCCCCTGAAAGGTTTTAGAGAGTGTTGATTACTGAGAACATAAAAGACTCGATTGTTTCAGGGATTTGAGATTGTTTTGTTTGTTTTTATATATTCAGGGCATGTCACCTTGCTAAGCAGGCGTTCGATGAAGCTATCTCAGAGCTTGACACTCTGAATGAGGAATCCTACAAAGATAGCACCTTGATTATGCAACTCCTTAGGGACAATCTGACCTTGTGGACTTCTGACATCCCGGAAGAAGCAGGTGATGATCACTCTGGACCAAGCTCATAAACTTTAATGTTTTGTTGTGCTACAAAAAGTCCTTTTTGGTGTTGTTCCGTTCTAGGTGTCTCTGTTCATTGTCACTTCTTTTGTGATTAAGACATTCTAAGCATATCCATGGACATGCTTGATGATAGATAGTTGAAGAAGATGATTTGTCTGTTTCATAATGATTCATATTTCACTGCGGATTCTCAAAATGTTTATTTGGCCTATATGTGCAGCAGATGATGCCCATAAGACGAATGGTTCTGCTAAACCCGGTGCAGGTGGAGACGATGCAGAGGTAAAGTAGACGAGATTCCTTTCCTTGTGGTGAATAGAATAAGTAGATTCTAATACAAAGATCTTATTTTCTCTTGATGCAGTGATCTGATATGTGTGCACCCGCAGCAGCGGCACTGGACAAATAGCCTCGACGAACAACTGATGCGCGGTGAATAATAGCTAAAAGTAGAGGTCCTCTGTTTCCTGTAATCATTGTTGTCTATGTTGTACTCTGGTTCGAGTGTATTGGTTTTGGATCATCTGATGTCTGTTTCAGGATTGTGTCTTATTTGTAATTTGTAATTCAAGACTGTCTTCTTCACCGATTGCTCTCTCTTACTAGTTGTTCCTATGGATTTATATCTTATATTTCTTCATCTCCGCTTCTTTCCTCCTCTGATTCACGTTCTGTTACTGGTTGAATCATCAACCACACCAAAACGGAATAACTCTCTGCAGTTTCTTTCACAGCTCTTTCGTCTCTAGTAGAGAATCTAGCACGCACAGCATCAGTATCTGTTGCGTATTATATTAAGACAAGCCAAAAGTTGATAGTGAAGCTTGCATTTCTTGAATGCTTCTGAACATATACTCATTTAGAGTCGAGCTCCAAAAAATAATAATAATAGGAAACAAGAAAAAAAAAATGAATATTTTGTTGAATAATAGAATAACTCTATCCAATGTTCCATAAGATTTCTTCTCTTTAAGTCTTAAAAATAGGCTCGTGGGATCAAATGATAGGGAAGCAGAGAGAGATGATGATAGGGTTTTCAAATTATAAGAGGAAATGCTTTATAGAGTCCTCTAGAAACTGGTGGCTCGGACAAATCATCTCCTTCACTTTGTCTCCGTTCTTGTACATCTTAAATGTCGGAACTTTTCTGATACTCTCTGTCTTCGCCAACGCCAAGCTCTCCTCCACATCCACCTAACAACATTTCAGTTTCTCGGTTAGAACACTGCGAGACATATATTATGAGTTTAGAAGAAACTTTGATCCAGTTTTGGAGGTTGGTCTCTTACCTTGAAGAAATGTACTAATGGATACCGGAGGCATAAAGTGTTGATGAAGGGAGAGATTTCTTCGCATTGTCGGTTTGATGATGATTTGAAATGAAACACAGAGACACCTGAATCATAATGAGCAAAGACAGATTGAAAAAAAATCTCCAACTTTTAAAGACAAATCAAGTCTCTGTTTAAAACTTACCGGGAAGTGTTACCGCGTTCTTGAACTTATCCAAAGTCGAAACCGCTTCAACTTCGTTATTGAATCCTAAGCTTTTCGATTCTTGACTTCTGTTCATTACCGCGGCTTTCGCTCTCTCTAGAGACTCTGCAACTTCGCTGTCTCCTGGAAGCTCCCTTCTCACGAACTCATAGTCTCTAACCGCATCTTCCCATCGACCAAGCTATACATTTCAGCAAACATTATCATTCAAATCATCATCAAACAAAAAACTCCGGTTAATAGCTGATCAAACAGAGTTCTAATCTCACCTTCCCATAAGAAGCAGCCCTTCGTAAAAGTGCCTTGATGTAATTAGGATGGATTTTGAGGGCTTGGTTACAGTCTTCAACAGATTGCTCCCACAAACCGAGTTTATACCAACACGCCGCTCTGTTGCAGTACAAAACCGAGTTGGAACCGTCGTGTTTGAGACCGTCTCCGTAAGCCACGCTCGCTTCGGAGAATCTCCCTGAACTAAACAGCTCATTCCCGCGAGTACGTGCCTTCACAACCATCTTCACGTTGTTTAAAACCGACACGAGCTCGGGGTTGGTCTGATCGAGCATCGCAGCTCTCTCTGCCTTTACAACAGCATTCTCAAATCTGCAACAAACCTATCATCTCTACTCATTCACCGGAGAAAAATCAAACAAGCATCACAAGTTTTTTTTTTTTTCCGAGTTTCGAAAGCTCTCACCTTCCTAATGCCATATCAACTTGAGCTTGGATACAGAGCACATAAGCTTCAGCTACCATACCAAAGAGTTTCGACTGTGGTTGAAAATGGTAATGTTGATGATGATCCAATCTTGGGATGCAAGATAGGCAAAAATCCGAATCCTCTATTTGGTTAAGACGCAAAAAGGCTTCGGCTTTACAAGCTAAGAGCTGTCCAAAATCAAATCGGAAAACCTCACTGTTAGTTTAATCTTACAAGCAAATGCAACAAGCTTGCTTATGTATGCTATGGCGATGATTTCCTCACCTGAGGAGACGAATCAGCGCCGTTTGCAATGGCTGCATCAGTTTCTTTAATGGCGGTTTTCCAATCTCCGATCTTCCGAGCCTCCCAGCATCGTCGGAGATGCTTCTCCAGCGTCTGTAGCCGTTGGAGATCGGCTTGATCCGGACATTGCCCGGAAAAACAAAGATGACGCCTTGCATTCTCAGCTTCTCCCAATCTAAAACCAACAAAGATTAGATTTAAACAATGATCACCAAATTCTCAATCTTTAAACTTCATACAAACATTTTTTACCTGAGATAGAGTGAAGCTAGTCTTTGGTGAGCTCTGGAGTAAGACGGATCAAGCCTGACAGCTTCAAGGCATTCTTTAACGGCGTCTCCTAAACGTCCTGACGCCGTTAACGCAGCGGCACGGTTGCTTCTGTAAGCTGCATTCTCCGGTGACAATGAGATTGCTCTGTCGTAAAGCGAAAGAGCTTCGGAGAACTTCCCTCTTCTGTACATATCGTTCCCCAGTCTCTTCAACTCCTCCGGGTTTTCACCGTTTTCCGCCGCTCTCGCCGCCGCGTTACTCTGCTTTCCGTTGCTTCCTCCGCCGCTTCGTACGACGTTTCCGTGCCCGTAATTTCCGGTTCCTGTGCAGAGAGTCTCGGTTCTGCTTGAGGTCCGAGTCGCCATTCCGGTTTTCAAGATCCGACCCGACGGGCAAATGTTGCCGGCGGGTAAAACGCTGGGACTCGGCGACACTGCCGACGTCGCGCCACTGCCGCCACCGGAGGTATGGCTCGTTGCTGAGTAGAAGCTAGAGCCGGAGAAGATCAACGGCGTTCCAGTCGAAGAGGATCTCCGGTGACCCGGTTTAAGATTCCGGGAGGTCGGCATTCCGGATCCGGGTACAACGGAGCTCGAAATCTCGCCGGAGTGGCTCTTACCCATCTGAGAAGTCACCGACGGTTTGCCAGAAGCAGAGCCGGAGGAGCCGGAGCTGCTAGTGGGAGTCGCTGCGGCAGAGGAGGAGGAGGATGGGGAGACACGTGGCATTAAGGTAGAAACCGGAGAACCCAGATCGAGTTCTCGGAAATCGGGTTTGTTGACGTCATCGTCTCTCTGCAAACTCAAGGAATCACGAAATCGTCCTGTAATTGGGTCTATAGCAGGTTCTAGCGAAAGCCTTCTAGAATGAGACATCCTCGTACTCTGATCTGCAAAAGCGAAAGAAAAGAAAAATCTAATGGCTTTTCCCTCAGCTTCTTCTTCTCAGAAGTCAGAAACTCACCAACGAAGCTCAAAGAGAAACAAAAACGCTGGACAGAAACAAGTACTGTCCAGAGAGAGAGAGAAAGAGAGAGAAAAGAAGACAGATCTCGTGATAAATAGAAAAGGAAGAAGCAAAGAATGAAGGTGAAACAAAAAATCAATAATTGGCTTATTAATTTTGGTTAACCTTGATAATTAAAAAGATTACAAATTTCCCTGAGATTATGACATTGATTTTCTTCTGCTGTTCATCACGAGTCTCTCTCTTCACTCCCGTGTCTTCACGGCTGCTTGTCGTTGTAGGACAAATACAGTGGTTTTATCTATCGAATTTTCGTTCTTATTCATATAAAACTACGTAGACTAAAATAGTTGACTCTGAATTTTGAACACAGTATTCCAAAACAAACTAATTTAAGATTATTTCGATTATGTAATATTAAAGATAATTTGGAATATTTATCAATACATTGCTTCGTGTTGAGGACAACGAATTATCAGTCTATCATATACATTGCATTTGTATGTGGACCGAACTATATAAAATATATTTACACTAAGATTGAAATTCAAGCCTTGAGTAAGGAAATGCGTAAAAACCTATAGAATGAGTAATTTTTATTTTAAATACCCTCTGACGTGATATTAGTATATGAATTAATTCTTTTTGCTCAAAATGTCAAGGCACGCAGATTCAAGCACGTTCACTCATGTTCCCAAAATGTTACTCTATCAAATTTAATTTTCTTACAACATTTATTAATTACAAACTATACAATAGCATAAGCAGGCTACATCATTAAAATTTAGCGCTAAACCTTCTTAGGATATTCAATGCACGACATGTAACTAATTTTATTTTATCTTTTTTGCATATTGTGTCATTTATAAAACCCCACTTTTAAGGGCGTTGTACAGACCTCTCGCATTAAATTTGCCGCTCAATTGATTAAAATTCTAGATTGTAATGGTAAACTGTAATTGCTTAGACATTCAAATATACGAAAAATCCCAACGAGTAACTAAAAGTTACATTCTAAAAAAAATTACAGGGATTTGTCAATCCAAAACAACTCAACAAATCATTGACTTTGGGTTATAAAAATAGTTGACCAACTTTAATAAGGAAATAGTTATAACAAAAAAAACTCAAATGAGAAAATGCCACGTAGGGTTTTCAACCCTCGTATTCAGAGACAGCACGATCAAGGGCAAATTCGTCTATCTAGATAGATGTATTTATCAAGCCAGCAAAACTTTTGTTTAAGCCACCATATTTATTGTAGTATTCTAAACTTATAGAAACATATAAAGTAATTTTCTGTGACAATAGCCGATTCATTTTTAAAATGAAATCAATATTACAAGCCTTTTCTTCTTGCGTGTAAGAGAGCAAAAAGAGGTTTAATTATAAATAGAACAAAAAAAAAAGATAAATGAAAATTCGTTGTCTAGTGTAGAGCTGGCAAAAGAAATTGTTGTTATAAAAGCCTGTCACATAGTTCTCTTTTCTTTTTTGGGGATTACTATTTAATTATTTTCACTAAACCAAACTAGTAGTAGTTAATACTCATAACTACTTTCTAGTACTACTACTTCATTTTTATTTTGTAGACCTTCGTGCAATTCCATATATTCCGTACCATTCGGACTTACGGAATCACTAATTACATATACACTGCACCAAACATTTAGAATTATGTAATATGCAACTTAATTTATTTTAAATGTTATTTTTTCTTGGTCACACCTCTCTCACTTTCAAATAATTTTGAAATGAAAATTCAAATTCCTGAATGATCATTTTTTCAACTGGTGAGCGCTCTATAAATACCAAAAAATGCAAAGAAAAAAAAAATATATATATATAATAAGAACATAGCAAAAATAATAGAAAAAATAGAAAGGGTTAAAAAGAAGACAGAAAAAGAACAACGTAGGGGTAAAATGGGGATAAAAAATACAAACGCTGATCAGGCCAGCTGGTTCTTAACGTCGCCGATGCGTCTGCCAGCTAAGCACACAGTCAATGTTAACGCCGTTTAATTTCAATAACGGATTATTCTGTTAACACCGACGTATTATTCGAAAATTGTCCTCGAGCCCGCCAAACTGACGACGACAGTGACTCACCATATCACGGTTCAACAAAACCGGCTTTTTTTTTTTACTTAACCAAACACAAACATGCATAATAAATTAAGTAGAGATGACAAGTTTACAGTTACATTACGAAATTAAAACCCCAACAAAAAGGTTGAATTACCAAATTTATTTTAGATGAACTATATGGGTCTCAACAATAGAAACAATCAAACAAGTATTTTTTTGAGATTCCCATAAATTAACATTTTGAAAAATATATATAACTATGATATTGATCCAAATAATTTAATACTTCCATCATTTAACTGATCAACAAATGAGTTAAAACTATACTAATATATGTTTCTTCCGCAGTTTTAATTTTAGTGAGATTTTGACAGAACCATTTGGTTTGCATTAATTAGCAAAGACCTCACCAATCACAACTAAGTCTGTTTATTCAACGCATGTCACATTGTTTGTTCCGTCGGAGACAAACAAAACATAATACAATGCTCAGGCTGTGTATGAGTGTGAAATTGTGAATGGACCCAATCAAAAATAGACAAAAGAGGAAATGTGTGGAAATTGGAAAATAAGTGCACTCACCTGCTAATGATGTGTTTACATCATTTTAGATCCTAAGTAAATCACTGTCGGGGCATCTTAATTGGTAATTACAATAACGATATACGGGTCTCCATATAAAACAAATGAAGTAACCCTATCTTTTACAATTTTACCCGTCGGCAAACATACTTTACATTATTAAAAAATGATGCTTGATGTTATATCTAAGGTATGGCTTGGAATTTGATCGTTGTTGGGGTGTGACGGGAGAACATGGGGAATTTATAGATATTAAATCAATTATATAAGAAGAGTACAGAATATTCTGTTTATATGTGCGCCTATGTAAAATTCCACATAATTTTGTATTCAATTTTTTTTTAGAATTGAAGATCCAATTCTATATATAGAAAGTGCCAAGCTTAGTAGAAAACCACTAGCCACAAGATCTTGGATTTTCTCTCTAATAAATAAATTAGACAGCATTGCAAATGAACCTTGTAAGTGCTTATATTTTACATTAAAAAACGAAGACAATTCCTTAGTCCTTGTAACCCACACATAATGACAATTACTTATACCCCATTGTTTTTCTTTTTTGTAATTATTTTTCTTCATCAATTTGCATTGATTGGTGTTTCGTGGTATGTTCTTATCTATCTGTATGATTGTATCTCTTCTTGCACTACGAAACTTTGATATTATATACAAAACAAAACAAGTATGAGAATTCATCTGGTTTTCTTAATTATTCGATTAATAATTTTATTACAAGCTAATCCACGCTTATCTAGCTTAAGTACTATGATTATTAATTAAGGGTATCCTATGTTACATCAATATTATTTTATTTCATTTTATAAATATTGAGATCATAATGTCAGTGCAAGCAAAGAATATATGTAGATCGCATTACCGTCCAACTCGCAATTGTTTTTGTTAGCCCGCACATTTTTAATGTTACACGTAAAAGTAAAACATTGGAATCTTTATACTTAGTTTCAGTAAAAAAATATTTTATGTTTAGTTTTTAGTTTTGTATAAATCATATATAACAACTTAATAAAGAAGTGGTCCTGTAATTTGTATTTTGTTGAAGAAGGGGACCCGTAATTTAACAAATTTGAAAACGTTAAATAAATGATGACCAAAAAGTTTTAAAGTTTTTGCTATTCTATTCCAAGTTATATAACTTAATTAGATTGTCATCACGATACATGCAATGCAATATATAATTTATGTGAATAATTCACAACGTAAGGTTAAGGGACGACGCCATTATCATGCGTACAAGGTATATATCCAAGCGTTTGATAGTTTTTCTAGTATCTTTTAGTTACTCTTACTTGTTGTAAAATTAGTGTTTGTAACTAGTAGCATGAAATCGAATGATAGTGTAGATCTAAATTCCTAGTAGCTAGGAGGATTTGCGTATCCTTGCAACTATAGATTTAAAATAGAATTGGAATAAGGAAAAATATTTTATACTGGAAAAACGGCTGCATGTGTCGATAATTGAAAACATATCCGTATAATGTATTAGTAACAGATCACTTATATATTCCCATGATTTTATTTATAGACAAAAAAAAAAATCAACCTAAAAGTATTTCTAGTTATAATTAAAATAATTATAATATATAGCAACATAATTGATGCGCTTTTCGTAAATAAGGGAGCGTATGTGCTGTACATAAACATTCCACATGCCCCATGTCTCAAATATTTTAAAAAGTAAGAAAAACTAGTTCGTTTTTTGTAGTAGCTAGCAAAAACGATCATCCACAATTGATTAAATTATATTCATTGTAGGTTTTACTGATGCAAACGCCGCCATCGCCATTGTCTCCACTACTGTCGTTATCGCCATCACCAATTCACCATTGCTACTGTTTAGCTATATTGTTATCGTCGTGATTGGCGACGACACATGTTAGAAATGGTCATCTTAGGCTTTTAGGATAAACGAAGCGGGGGCAAGAGTTAAACAACATGATTGGCGACACATGTTGGTCTTGTCTTTCTCTGTTACTCAAGTCACGCCATCATATCATTGAAGTCGAATTTCTCCTCTCTTTCTTCTTTCCTTTTAACATATAAACTATAATCATTAAAATTTTATGATTTTTTCATCAAGTTTTTCACTATTTTGCATATATACAAACTTTTAAAGTTTCTAAATTTATCTTTTTTTTTTTAACATTTCTAAATTTATCTTTCGCAGTTTAATACTCACATATATCACTATGCTTGTAGAATCTACACATTCGCCTTAGTATACGTTACCAAAATTAGAAACATCTTTAACTCTATGTAAAAAAAAATAAACGACGATGCATTTGAATGCTAGGTTAGAATCCAACATCGATTATGGTTTCGTTGTTGTTGTTTTTGCATTTCCAAGCATGTTTTAACAATATACTATACCGAAAGTGTAAAATACAGAGATTATAATAAGTTTTGAGTATTTAAGAGCTAAAGATATGTTTGATGAATCTATTTCTTCACATATCTATTTTTTTTTTTGTCTTTGTATGGAATTTTTCCTATTTAAAAAGATGAAACAGAAGATAGAATTGAGCAAACTTTATTTGTTGACAGAACCACGTATTTTGTTTGGTTTATGATATACACATGTTACATTTCTATATCTTAGGGGACGATAAAAACTTGAGAAATAATGAACATATGGGACACATGCCACTGAGTTTAACATGTGATCCAAATAATTTTGAGTCTACTGCATGGGAAAGAAAAAGATAGGAAAAAATGCTCCCCCAGTTGTCCTTTTCCCTTAAATTTAAATCTACCCAATATTAATCTTTTCAACTATATATATATATATATATATCTGATAAATCATATTCTCTCTAGCAATTCTGAACATTAATAGAATAAAGAGTTCTTTTTTAATATATGTGTATATTTTGTATTTCAAACAAAACCGAATCAAAACTGAGCCGAACTGAAAGTTTGCCAAACCAAACCATTCCAAGAAATCTCGTCTTAGTTTGGTCATGAATTCTCAATACCGGAAAATCAATTTACAGGATCAAACCGAATCAGATAACCGAATGCCACCTGTTTAGTTAACATGCAATGCACGAAGACACTAAGTATGACCACATACAAGTATATAAATTGAATAACCTGAACGGCACATGACGACGTATAAGAGTCATCCAAGCACATGAGATTACCTTAACCATGAGGACGTATTAAAAAAATATAAGAGCCAACAAATGTTGATGGGTAAATGGGCTTAATCACATTTTTCAGGCCCAAACAGTACCTTCTACCGTTGACGCAAATGGAAGTATGGAACGCATACGCATATGAATTGAAAACTAGTTTTCATAATCTCGTTTTAGTTTAGACAGTAGAAAATAAAACATTTTTTTTTATATTTTCCTTCAAGTATTTACGAAATCATTTAAGATGAGAAGTGGAATTGAATGATGTTGCGGGTGCTAGGTAGGGGAATAAAGCTTGGTGATAAGGACAATGTGCTTTTATAGATATGCATTTATATTTACTATGGCCTTATGATATGAGTTTGCTCAATTGGGCACTTTCTTGTCAATTCTGCCTTAAATTCATTTATTCTCGGAACTTCAGGAATTGTGTCACTTCACTAATGACCTTTGAACTCCCAAATCTAGATTAGTGAAACTTAATGTGCATTATACCTTCGGTCTTATTCATTGTGTGGATTTCGCGTTGTTTATGTTTGCTAGGACAATCTTTTTGAGACACCATAAACCAAAATTTACAGTAGACAAGACAATCTGTAATGCCATATAATGACTTTAAGTTCCTCCTAGCCATTATCCTACAGCAATATAATCGTATAAAATTTGAATTAACCTACAACGAAAACTGATGAGACTGTTTAGTTACCATCACTTTACTTGCATTTTATTCCTCATTGAAAACAAACTTTATACTATACTTGGAGTATAACAATAATACGATTCCTTTTTTTTCTATATAGCATCTTGATTTGACCTGATATAACAAACGAGGAAAAACATTGTGACCTAAAACTAATTAAGAACTAATATAAAAAGGAGAAAACTTTGTATTTTTGTAAACACCTCATAGTACTCAATATTAATGATATGTCCTGAGTAAAGAAACAAACGACGATCACCAGTTGTGTCTTTCTGTCACTTATTGAAATTATTATCATAGAGAGATTGGAAATGGAGAAACGTGTATGGACCTTTTTTTAAATCTGCTTCTCAATTATTGAGCACTTCAATCTCCCGCAAATCATTAGTATTTTGTTATATATTGGATGCCGATTATCTAACTTTTACGTCGTGGTTATTTCTTCTATTTGAATTTAATTTTGACTCTCACATACTTATTTGTGTTGTTCATTCCAAAATGAAAAAGTTACCTGCAATATGATGCTATCGTATGCGAAATCAAAGGAGGAAATATGAAGAAAGAGTCTAATGTATATAGTACATGGAAAACAACTGGCAAGATCTTGGAATCTTGTACTGATGATATATTATACTAAATGTTTATTATATATTGGTTCCGTAGGAAGAATTCAAGTCGTTCATTCGTAAATTTAGATGTTCGAGCTTCCAGTAAATCTCATATTTTGTTTCATTTTCAGCTCACGAGGTTTATAATTACACAACATGTATTGTATATTCTGTTAGTTAGAAATTCTATTAATTTTGTTATAAAAATCAACATATGGAATACTTCGTATTATGATGTGTACCGTATGTCCGTATCGCATGAGCCGCAAAACTCCTGCATTTCCGCCAATACCGAATTTAAATATAAGCCATGATTTTGATCCATAGCATTATTCATGCCTGCTCAACGAGAAATACTCCACTACAATACATTACATATTATTATTAGTCATCTAAAATACTCTCACCTAGAAATTTATATATATGTTAATCCATCATGGGGACTTTATTTTTGCATGATGTATATTAGTATCGCATACTAAGAAAATTTCGAGTGCATCACTATTACTTCTCTAGATTTAAAGTAAACTATTATACAATTATACTTTCATGAGTTCATTTAGCTACATGGCACTATTAATCCTATTCGGTTTTCAACACGTCCTCTTAGTATTATTCAATCTAGATCCACCGATGTTCAGTTCTTACATATAATCCCCATAATCACCGGCGAAAAGATGATGATGATAATGAGAAGTTGTGTAGGTACTTTTTTTGTTGTCTCCACATGTGTATTCACACTCTTGTTCATTATTCCAGTGATTAATTATGACATTTTTTTAGCGAATGTGTAATAATCAAATAATTGGACAATATATAGTATAGCTCTTATACTTTTACTATAACTGGGGCCATATCTATAGACACGTACGTATAAATTTATCAGCGCAAAACGGTGTAAAGTCAAAGTTGGTCCCGCTTAGGCCTCTCACAAAATTACATGAAATTATGTATTTTTCCTATTTTTTGCATCCCTTTACCTACCAAACCTTATTTTGTGAGTTTTTCTCATACTTTTTTTTTGTTAAAGATTCTCATCCTTTAATCCTTTCTTAATAATAATTAATCTCTATGTATTGGCAAGTTACACAAGATGTGGTTCCCTAGAAATTTTTTACTATGAGATGTGCAGTGAAAAATACTAAACACATTGCCTAGTGGCTAGTGCCTACGATTCAATTGCAATCTCAAATTTTTTTAACATTTTCTTCCTTTTAAAATAATCTAGAGAAGCAAAAAGATAGTATTACAACACTAAAATCATAATAAAAAAAAATTGGAAAAATGAGAAATTAGATTTTGGAACGTACCTAGTACCAATTAAAACAGTATTATTAAACGAATAAGAACACATAAAGGATCTTGTTTCTTGTTTACCCCTTCCCATGTGATGTGAACGAACAATCAATCTTTCTCACTCTCTCTCTTTCTCTCTATTGGGGTTTGAGGTATTATATAAACAAAACAGTCCAAGACACCTCTTTTCACACACTAATCTCTCTCACCAGGAAAGAAGAAAACAGAGTATCTAAATCTCAGATCGAAGAAACACAGAGAATGGGTTTCTTTTCCCGAGAAAACCCTTCTCTCTTCTTCTTCTTCTTCTTCTTCTTACTCTGTCTATCCACAGTCTGTGCTTACACCAACACAAGCAGCAACAATGGCGTGGAAGCAGAAAAAAGAGAGCTTGCTTCTGGGAGATGTAATTGGTTTAGAGGGAATTGGGTTTATGATGCAAAGTACCCACTTTACGATCCTTATAAATGTCCCTTCATAGATCCACAGTTCAACTGCAAGAAGTATGGTCGTCCCGACAATCTTTACCTTAAGTATCGATGGCAACCATCATCTTGCTCTCTTCGCAGGTACACTCTTTCTTCTCTCTCCTTATCTTCTTACATTCTTTAAATTATCTGGGTTTTGGTTTTAACATTCGACTGTGTGATTCAAGATCAAACCCTTTTGTGTGTTTCTTTGCTTTTTTTTTTCTTCCATAAATTAGTCAGAATTATAAATCGCACATGGTGAAAATTTGATTTTTGGTTTTTGTTTTTATTGTGATTGTGAATCGAAAGCTGTTTATTTTCTTTCCGCTAATAAATATGGAAAGCTGGAGAGTTCTGTTTGTTGGGTTTCTGTCTATAACAGAGATATTTAAGCACATTGGTAAGAAAAGTAACTAAAAACTTTCCAAATGGATTTCAAAGTTAGATAGTCTATAATCTCTCTCTTCTTGAGTGTTGTCTCTCTCACTCTCTCTCTTACTATTTTTTCTCTTTTTTTTTTTGCCTTTTTGGATTTCAAAATTTAAAACTTTTGTGAGAGTTGCTTTGGAGCAATAATGTCTCGATATCCCATAATTTCACTCTCCAAAAAGGTATAAAATCGAATCCGAAGCACAAAACAAAGTGTTTTTGATCAAGTAAATAAACAGTTCAAATTTTAACTTTTTAAGTAACGTTTGTCCTCGAAAACAGTAAACCAGACGAATTTCGATTTGGTAAAACCAGCTGTGAAATGGGTTTTATTTTCTTACCGGTGTAGAATTCATATATTAATAAAATGTTTGCTAAATTTTTTTCAGATTCAATGGGTTGTATTTCTTGAGGAAGATGAGAGGGAAGAAGATAATGTTCGTTGGAGATTCACTAAGCACAAACATGTGGGAATCTCTAGCTTGTCTGATTCACGCTTGGGTTCCAAACACTCGTTACACTCTTCTTCGCCAAAAGGGTCTAGCTTCACTCACCTTCGAGGTTTATTCTTTCATCTACTTTACAAAAACATTTTCCATTAATATAAGTTGATATTTATTGAGGTATCATTTTCACTAAAATTAAATGTTTTTATAGCTTTATTAGTCTGGAAAGTGAGTTAAAAGTTTTGATTTTTTTTTTTCTTCTAGTGCTTACACTGGTTTTTAATAGGATAAAGTTAACGAAAAAAAGGGACAAAGTTTTATCTTTCTTTGTCTGTTTGGATTTGATATAAAAATATAGCATTAGGATAAGAGAATGAGCACAGAGAGCATTTAAGAGATGAACGTGATTAGTGGCCTATTTCCCAAAAAAAGAGAATCTCTCGGAATATCATGTCATGTTATAATCTTTATGAATCATGAGCCACGCAAAAAGATATTCGATTTCTTTTATTCATTTCATGGTATTTTTGAGCACATGGCCGATAATACCACCACTACATATATACAGTTTATAAACCGTTTCTCATACTTTGGCTAAATAGAAAAGTGAAATGGGTACGGACGCAGGAATACGGAGTGACGTTGTTACTATACAGAACACAGTTCTTAGTGGATTTAGATTCGGAGAGAGTAGGGAGAGTGCTTAAGCTGGATTCCATTAAGCAAGGCAAAATGTGGAGAGGCATGGACGTCTTGATTTTCAACAGCTGGCATTGGTGGACCCACACCGAGCACATCCAGCCGTACGTTTATTCTTTCTTCTTTGGCTCTCTGTCTTTTTGATTTTTTTTTTTTTTTACTTTTTTAACTGATTTGATGACGTGTGTGTGTTTGTGGAGCAGGTGGGATTATATGGAAGATGGGCATAGATTGTATAAAGACATGAACAGGCTGGTCGCTTTCTACAAAGGAATGACCACTTGGGCTCGATGGGTCAACGCTTACGTCGATCCTTCTAAGACCAAAGTCTTCTTCAATGGCGTTTCTCCTACTCATTACGAGTAAGTAAAAACAAACAAGACCCATTTCTTACTTTAACCTAATCTTAATTACTTAATTAGAATATATAAATTTGTTTGCAGGGGAAAGGATTGGGGAGAGCCAATGAAGTCATGTAAGAGTCAGACGCAGCCTTTCTACGGGAGGAAGTATCCAGGAGGGACACCAATGGCTTGGGTAATTTTGAACAAAGTGATGAGTAGATTGAGGAAACCGGTCCATTGGCTCGACATAACCGGTCTCTCTCAGCTTCGTAAAGATGCTCATCCTTCTGCTTTCAGTGGTAACCATCCCGGTAATGACTGTAGCCATTGGTGTCTTCCCGGTTTGCCTGATACTTGGAACGTACTCTTTTACTCTACTCTTTTCTCTTAAAATCTCTTTTTTTTTTCATCAATGTATAAGTTACTCAAGAACAGTCTATTGTCTTCAGTTAACTTTGCATTGTGGTCGCTTGATTCTTGACTGAAATAACGTTTTTAATACCAAAATGACTGAAAAATAGGCTCACGAATACAATACACAATTGTGGCTGTTGTAAGAAAAAAGATATAGCTGGGCCTATAAGAGATAAATGGGCCTCGTTGAAAAGTAAAAAGGCCCAGATGTGATTTTGTATTTTAGAACTTACCAATATGTAAAGTGAGATAAAATAATCGGTAGATATACAAACCGGGAGGCTAAAGATCGAGACGGCGAAAATGCACCAGAGGATATCCACGTGTATTTGTACGGAGCGACACGTGTTATGAAACCCAGATGATTGCCTTCTTCTAGTTCGGCTCAGTAAAATTAAAGATGATCTCTTCCAACAAGCTGAGTCATCATCTCTCCTACACGTATTCAGTAGTAAATTCAACACGTCACACACCTTCTTCGATGACCGCCCAAATCTGTTCTTTTTGGTTAAAGAGGTTTGCTGATTATAAAAGCAAGAAAGATAAAGCTCGTTAAGAATCATCCGAGGTAAAACAATCAACAACAACAAAAAAGTTATCATCCAATTATAAATCTTGTAATCAAACTGTGTTTCTTGGAAGGTATTGTTAGCGTATAACAATGTCGTCAGAGCAAGCAAGAAGAGAGAAGGTGGTGAAGGAGAGGGAAGTTGAAGTGGAGAAGGACAGAGTCCCGAAGATGACGAGTCATTTCGAGTCAATGGCCGAGAAAAGCAAGGATCACGACACACACAGAGAAAGTGGTGGGACACACTTTGTGTCGCTCTCGGACAAAGGGAGTAACATGGCGGTTTCTGACGAAGGAGAAGGGGAGACGAAGATGAAGAGGACTCAGATGCCTCACTCTGTTGGAAAATTCGTTGTGAGCAGCGGAGACAAAGAAGGGACGGTGAAGAAGAAAGAGGAGGAGAAAGAGAAGGCGTCGCTAGAGGATATTCATGGTTATAGAGCCAATGCTCAGCAGAAATCGATGGATACGATACGAGCAGCAGAGGAACGGTATAACAAGGCTAAAGAGAGCTTGAGCCATGGCGGTCAAGAGGCTCGTGGCGCTAGAGGAGGAGAACAAACGGAGGGTAAAGGGCGAGAAAGTGGTGTCCATGTTACTCACGTTGGGGCGGATAAAGGACGGCATGGTCAGGAATCTTCTGCGGCAGAGAGGGAACGAAGATCGGGTGGTGGTCAGATCCATGGAGGCGGAGGAGCTGCTGTTGTCTACGGCCAAGAAGCACCTGGTAGAGTAGGACTAGAAGTATTGGCGGGAAAGGGACGAGAAGAGAAAGAGAGTGGTACCCATGGCTTTCATGGGGACAAAGCTCGTCAGGCTCAGCTTTTGGCTGCTGGAGGTGACGAGTTAAAAGAACGGAAAGGTCAAGAACCACTTGGTCAAGGTGCTCAAAAAGCGACGGAGATGGGAAGAGAGAAGGGAGCTGCTGCTAAAGATACGACGAGTGAGAAAGCTCAAAGAGCTTCTGATTACGTGACGGAGAAGGGAAGGGAAACTGGAGACGTGGCGGCTCAGAAAGGTCAAGAGGCAAAGGAACAAGCTGGGAGAGCCAAAGATTACAGTGTTGAGAAAGCTAGTGAGGCCAAAGATACTGCGGCTGAGAAAGCTCTGAGAGCTAAAGACTACACCCTGCAGAAGGCTGCTGAAGCTAAAGACACTGCGGCTGAGAAAGCTCAGAGAGCTTCTCAGTATGTGACGGAGAAAGGAAGAGAAACAGGTAGCACGGCGGCTGAACAGGCTGCAAGAGCAAAAGACTACACTTTACAGAAAGCTGTTGAGGCCAAAGACATTACGGCTGAGAAAGCTAAGATAGCTTCTGAGTATTTAGCGGAGAAAGGGAAGGAAACTGGAAACGTTGCCTTACAGAAAGGACAAGTGGCGAAGGAACATACGGTTTCAATGACGGGAAAAGCGAAAGACTACACTGTTGAGAAAGCCGGTGAAGCGGCTGAGTATGCAAAAGAAACGGTGGTGGAAGGAGGAAAAGGAGCAGCACATTACGCCGGAGTGGCTGCTGAGAAAGCGGCTGCCGCTGGGTGGACGGCGGCGCATTTCACCACCGAGAAAGTGGTGCAAGGGACAAAAGCAGTTGCGGGTACAGTGGAAGGAGCTGTAGGTTACGCAGGGCATAAGGCGGCGGAAGTGGGATCCAAGGCGGTGGATTTAACTAAAGAGAAAGCTGCTGCGGCTGCTGACACGGTGGTTGGATACACAGCTAGAAAGAAAGAGGAATCTCAACACAAAGACCAAGAAATGCACCAGGTACTGCACAACTTAAACCAGAGCTTAGATCTTATTTGAGTATTATAATGTTGTTACTTGTTTCTCAAGAAACTGAATGTTTTTGGAATTGTTTTGAGGGAGGTGAGGAAGAAAAACGGCCAGGGCTTGACACAGAACCAAGGAGAGGCTATGGAGAGGAGTACGGGGAAGAAAGAGGTAGCGAGGAAGATGTCTTCGGATACAGAGCAAAAGGTATGTCCGGAGAACCGAGGAGAGGCGTCAGGGAGGAGTATAGAGGAGGAAGAGGAAGTGAGGAAGATGTCTTCGGATATGGAGCAAAAGGAACTGCAGGAGAAGCGAGGAGATATGGTGGGGAGGATGAGTTATTCGGAGGAGGAAACGAGAGATATGTCCAAGAGGAAGGGGCTGGTGCGGGAGGAGTGCTTGGGGCAATCGGCGAGACTATAGCTGAGATCGCGCAGACGACCAAGAACATAGTTATTGGTGATGCGCCGGAGAGGACACAAGAGCATGGAACTACTGATTATATGAGACAAGAACATGGACGACGTTGATAAGTCCAAAGAAAAGTGTGTTTGGGTCTTTCTTTTGTTTATCTGCTTTTGTTTTTTGTATGTAAATAACAAGAAGCTCTGTTCCAAAAGAGTTTTCTAGTAAATAAAACAAAGCTCTGTTTCATGGTTCGAAGTTCAAATTGTCAGTTCAGATTTGCTCTCACTTTTGAAGTGAATGAAATCTCTTCTCAATATGGTTTTGTTATTCTCACTCATTTGGGCTTTTAGCCATTTAAGTTTGCCGCCACATAGATTCATTTTGTTGTAGGCCTTTGGTAGATTTACGCTCGCAAACCCAAAACTAACTTGGCCGACATATTTTTTTATTTTTACAGTAAAAGTTTACATGACGTAACGAGAACGACTTCTTACATATTAGTGCTTTAGATTTTCAAAAATAATAACAGAAATTCTAAACATGTAAAACTTGTGTATAGCCAAAAATGCTATCATGTATATATCACCACAGCTTTCATGGCCGACCTGTTTTCCTTTTTTTTAAATAGTTAAAGATAATAGCAATATGTGCAAAAAAATCTTACGATGGCACGTGTAAGTTTTGGATTGTAATTGGTCTAAAGATCTATAAAGCATACTATTCGAGATTAGATACTTCTCATCTCACTTTCTTCTTCTAAAAACCCTTCCTTCGATATTCTTTTGCTCCCAAACACACTTTTTTTTTAATTTTCACATCTTAAAAAGATCTAATGGCGATGTCATTCTCCGGAGCTGTTCTTAGTGGGATTGGTTCTTCATTTCACAGCGGAGGAGCCAAGCTTAGCGGCGTTAGTACCGTCAGAGTTGGACGGAAAACTGAGCTCGTCGTGGTCGCTCAGCGCAAGAAGTCGTTGTTCTACGCCGTTAAAGGTGATGGCAACATCCTCGATGACATTAACGAAGCCACGTAAGTCTATATTTGTTTCTTTTAATATCTTTTCTCGTGATCTATCTACATTATTCGCACACAAACTCTCATATAATATTACTCGCCATGATGATAATATTTTTGACAAACAACCCACTTTAGCCGGTTATGAAGGCTGCCATTTGAAACATACGATCTACTTTTAGGAAATATTTTTTTAAAACTATATAATTAAATTAAATAATTTTCGAAAAGAGAAATATATATATCCTTTGAGTGGTTCTCTTTAAAGTAGATGATCAAAATTTCATTAAAAACTAGGAGTTTTATATGTTATTTTTATGGAATTTTTTTTTTTTGTTTCTTGAGCTTATTTTATATATGTTTCTTTCTAAATACTATTCAAGATATAGTTTCATATATACCATAAAGGTGACCCCATCTCTTTTTTTAATTTACATGTATAGCAGTAAATATTTCTTCTTTTTTTTGTGTGTGTAGAATTAGCTTCAAATATTGTATTATTGACAAACCTCAAATATTTGAGAATACAGAACGTTGATTCCATGTAAGGTCAATAATTAATGAATCTGAATATAAAAATATAGAAAGAAAGCTTCGGATTTCGTGACGGAGAAGACAAGTGAGGCGTTGAAAGATGGAGAGAAAGCAAAAGACTACGTTGTTGAGAAAACCGGTGAAGCTGCAGACACGGCGGGGGAGGAAGCTAAGAAAGCTTCGGAGTATGTGACGGAAAAAGGAAAAGAAGCCGGAAACTCAGTGTCTGAGTTCGCAGAGAGCAAAGCAGGAGAGGCCAAGGATGCCACAAAGTCCTAGTTCAAACCATTTTAACTAGTAGATATATCGGTTCTCCCTCTCTCTCTCTCTCTCTTCATGTTCAATATTTTACAATAAGATCAGTTTCTTGTAGTTTCCATTGCACCATTTGAGATAATTAAAGATATGTTACTTAATTACTCACCATACCATTTTACATTCCTATCAAAGGATTTGAACGGTAACTTTTGTAGATCAAATTCAATGTGACAAATTAACTTAAAGTCATAATTAATCATAACTAAGGGAAGAAACATATAAAATGATAATGGTATAGGATTCAATGAAACGAATCAAATTTTGCTACTGAGTAGCTGAAAATCAAAATTTCAAAACCGTTAAAAAAAAATGAAAACAATCGTATAGGATTCAATGAAACGAGTTAAACCTATTTATTAGTAATCCTAACTATAAAGTTATGTTTGCACATGTGGCATACAAATGTATGTATTTTCAATTTTTTTTGTATACATAAGGTTTGTGGTTTTCACTCATTTGGGCTATTAATTACATTTAGCCTTTTGGTAGGTTTAGGCTTGGAAACCCAAACTAACTTGTTGGCCGACATAATTTTTTTTTGTTTTATTACAATAAAAGGAACACGTGACGTAGGGACGAGAACGACATGAGTGCTTAATTTTGCAAAAATAAAAACAGAAATGCTAACATATAAAACTTGTGTTGCCAAAAATGCTAACTATGTATATCACCACAAATTTGATGGCCGACCTGTTTTTTCGAACAGTTAAAGATAAATAGGCTTAATAGCTATGGGCAAAAAATATCATACGACGCCACGTGTAATTTTGGATTGTAATTGGTCCAGAGATCTATAAAACGATACTATTCGAGAGACTAGAGATTATACTCAGCTCACTTTGATTCCTCTAAAAAACTCCATTGGTTTCTTAAAGAGATCTAAATGGCGATGTCATTCTCAGGAGCTCTTCTCAGTGGGATTGGTTCTTCTTTCCACACCGGAGGAGCCAAGCAGGGCGGTCTTGGCACCGTTAGAGTTGGCCGGAAAACTGAGTTCGTCGCCGTTGCTCAGCGCAAGAAGTCGTTGATCTACGCCACCAAAGATGGCGGCAACATCCTCGACGACCTCAACGAAGCCACGTAAGTCAATAATTTGTAACGTTTTGAGTTTATATATATCTATATATATTCACACAAAAGTCTCATAGCTATATATATAACTAGCCATGATAATATTTTGATAAATAACCTACTCTAGCTGGTTACTTTATACAATCTAGTCATCTACTTTTATAAAAGGAACTTTCTTTTAATGAATATTGTTTTTGGAAAATATATTAGAGAAGATAAGATATTTTTGAGTAGCTCTCTTTAAAATAAAAGAACTAAAATTCATTTAAAAAAAAAAGAAAATGTAGTAATATTTTCATCGTCTTAATCGTTGGTCAATATAATGAACTTATAGAAAGAGAGCTTCGGATTACGTGACGGATAAGACAAAGGAGGCGTTGAAAGATGGTGAGAAAGCAAAAGACTACGTTGTTGAGAAAAACGCCGAAGCTGCAGATACGGCGGCGGATGAAGCTCAGAAAGCTTTGGACTATGTGACGGAAAAAGGAAAAGAAGCCGGAAACAAAGCGGCTGAATTTGCCGAAGGTAAAGCAGGAGAGGCTAAGGATGCCACAAAGCCATGATTCAACGTCCACTTAACTAGTAGATATATATCGACCGTCCCTCTCTTCTTGTTTAATATCTTACGATAAGATCAGTTTGTTTTAACTTCTATTCACCTTGGAATAAAGATATGTTACGAAAAGTTCTAAAAGAAAAGAAAAAATAAGGATATGTTTACTAAAGTTCTAAAAGAAAAGAAAAAAATAAGGATATGTTACTTAATAACTCACATCAAGAGGTATACCACTGCCTTTGTTACCAATAAAAAAGAGTAGGAATCAGTTAAAATTGGTACCACCATTTTATTTATTCGCTTCAAACTTTTCTGCCATATTTTACTGTTAAAAACTCTTATTGTTTTTATTTTGTGTAACATATATATAACTCGATTGAAGGTATTAGGTTCTTAGAATTTACAAATGTGTTATTTTAGTCTTTTTTTACAAAATTAATTTGTGTGAATTTATTAATTTTGTTTGTTAACAATTGTACTCTCTTTAATCAATCACAGTTATAAATAATTTTAACTAAGTTCTCCAAATACTTCTACAATTGACTATTTTTGTTCTTGTTCGCATATATATGACTATTTTTCTGTAAAGTTGATTCCAAGAGTTGTAAAGCTGTAAAGGAAAATTTGCGAGTATATGGAGAATGTTCATGTTAGTTGATCGATCAATGATTAAATTGGTAACTTATTGGGATAAGTGATTTAATCTAAGAGGAAAATTTGCGAATATATGGAGAATGTTCATGTTAGAACATCACACCCTACACCAAAAATGAGTGATTTAATCTAAGAGGTTATGCGTATCGAAATTAAAGCTCTCTCTTAAAAAAAAAAACATTTCTTTTACAAGACATGCAAAGGTGTGCCCTTATTGTGTTACTGCGGTTTAGAACAAGAAACCATTTTATGTGTTTTTAATCACGTAAGAGATAGTTTGTACGTTTTTAAATCATTCGGGTTTTTAGTTTTACATTTTAGATTTTCCACCATAATGGTTCATTTTGTTGTAGGCTTTTGGTAGATTTGAGGTTTCAAACCCGAATTAACTTGTTGGCCGGCGACATATATTTTGTTTTGTGTGTTTTTCACAACAGAAGTGAGCACACTTGACGAAATGAGAACGACCAAAACTTGCTAGTTTAGTGCTTAATTAAAATTTGCCACACACAAAGATAGAAATGCTAACATGTAAACTGTTATTGCCAAAACTGCTAACATGTACAGTATTACACAACCACAAACTTGATGGCCGACCTCTTTCTTTTCTGGAAAACCATAAAAATGATGGTTACACGTGGCTGAATAATAGCGAACGAAAACTCTTCTTGTTCAAAAAAGTTGAAGATAATAGGCATCACCAAAAATATCTTACGACGACACGCGTACTATTGGATTCTAATTGGTCTAGAGATCTATAAAATGACACTATTGGGAGATTAGAGACTTCTCATCTCACTTTCATTTATTTTTTTACTCTCAAAACACTCTTTTTTTTTTCCCTCATCTTTAAGAGATCTCTCATGGCGATGTCACTATCAGGAGCTGTTCTCAGTGGAATTAGTTCTTCTTTCCACAGTGGAGGAGCCAAACTTAGCGGCGTTGGCACCGTCAGATTTGGCCGGAAGACTGAGCTCGTCGTGGTCGCTCAGCGCAAGAAGTCGTTGATCTACGCCGTTAACAGTGACGGCAACATCCTCGATGGCATTAGCGAAGCCACGTAAGTCTATATTCTACGTGTTTACATATATATTAAGTTATTACGTACTCGACATGATAATATTCTGATAATTCAACGGTATTAAATAAAATATCATTCAGGATAAGTGTTTAAGTTTACGAATAGCTTTAAACATTCTCCATCATCTACATATATAGCCTTGTAGATATATATGTCTTGGTCAGTATAATGAATCTGAATATATGAAAATAGAAAGAAAGCTTCGGATTTCGTGACGGAGAAGACAAACGAGGCGTTGAAAGATGGGGAGAAAGCAAAAGACTTCATTGTTGAGAAAACCGTTGAAGCCAAAGATACGGCGGTAGAGGAAGCTCAAAAAGCTTCGGAGTTTGTGGCGGAGAAAGGAAACGAGGCGGCTAAGTTCGTAGAAGAGAAAGCAGGAGAGGCTAAGGAAGCCTTCAACTCCTGATTTCGACCAACTCATTGTCTTTTTCTTTACGTTCAACATTTTACAATAACATCAGTTTGATATTTTTTCACCATTTATGATTAGTTTACATGTTTCTTAATTGCTCGCCATCACATTTAAATTTCGTGATCAAATTGTTAAAACAGAAATTAGAATAGGTTGTATAGTACACAACACATGCAAGAGAGTGAGCACTCAATTTATTGAGTTACAGTGTTTATGGATTTTAAAACTAACAAGTGAAGTGGTGTATAAGAATTTGAGAACATGATCAAAAATTTGGCACACAAAAAACTGTGAAATGGGTGACTCTAATTTTTAGGACATTCCCTAAAAGTAGCCTAAAAGAAGACCAAAACACCTAAAACAGTAACACTTGTTATATATCCATCTCTTGAATGAAATCTCATAGGTGTAAGTGGCAAATACATACTCTCTCTCTCTCTCTCTCTCTCTCTCTCTCTCTCTCTCTCTCTCTCTCTCTCTCTCTCTCTCTCTCTTTGGGAATGTAGAAGAAAAAATAAAATGTCAACAGTTATAACCAAGACAAAACAAAACATTGGGAGCTTAGTCCCAAGCACTTGGAGTTTCTCCGCCATATCCACCACTTGGAGCACCATATCCACCACCATAGCCTCCTCCCCCTCCGCCATAGTAATCGCTACTTCCTCCTCCTCCTCCTCCTCTATTGTAAGACCCTTCCCTTCTAAAGTCACGACCACCAAACCGGCCACCAGACCGGCGGTTCTTACCACCGCCAAAAGAGGAACGCGATGCATATCGTGTGAGCCACGCAGGGACTTCCTGGTTAGCTTCTTGCATCAGCTCAGCGAGCTCTCTGGCCAATGAGGTGTTGCCATCATTGAAGAAGGCAGTTGCTAGTCCTGATTTGCCAGCACGTCCTGTTCGTCCTATACGGTGGACATAGTCATCAATGTCTTTTGGTAGATCGAAGTTCACAACATGAGCCACGTGGGGAATGTCAAGACCACGTGCTGCTACGTCCGTTGCAACCAAGATCGGTGTCCTCCCACTCTTGAACGACTTTAGTGCCACTTCTCTTTCCTTCAGTGAATATATAACAACACAACAACACTTAGTAAAGCTAGCCAAACGAAAACAAACTAGCTTGAAAATGATGGCCAAAGAGTTACGTTTTCAACAGTTTCCTCCAGTTTTAGTTATAGTTGCAATGAATAATATTCCTACACGAGCTCTTCTCTTTAAAATTGAACATGCAAGATTTTCAGATTCAAATCATTAACAAACCTGCTGTGTTCTGTCACCGTGAATGGTGGTTGCTGGAAACCCATTGATGCACAACCAATTTTCCAAAGTGTCTGCTCCTCTCTTTGTCTCCACAAACACTAAGGTTAGGGCTTGCTGAAATTATGGAAGAGAATACAATCACCAGAAGTATGACGAAGCATGCCAAAATATGATATAAGACTAGCCAGCTACGTTTGTGATATATCATGAACTAAGTAACCAACAGCTGATACCTTCAAAACAAAAAAAGGAGTACAATTTTTACCTTGCCTTGGACGCCATTCTCTCTCTGAGCATGAAGCAGGTCCATGAGATGACTTCTCTTGTCAGACTCGAGAACAAACTCAACCCTTTGGACAATTAAGTCAGTACTTGAACCTACTCTACCCACAGCCAAAAATATATAATTTGCTAGGAAGTCAGCTGCGAGTCTCTGCACAAGAAACAATCATGCTAATCTTCTCAAATTTGCAAATGAATATGTAAACGCAATATTCTAGTAACGAGTATTATGCAGCTTTAATCACACAAGAAACAGAAGCATGAAACTTAATCTATCTAAAACTCGCCAGACAACAGGTTCACCATCATAATTGAAAAAAATAGCATTATCATCCTCTGACAGATAAAACTATCAATACTATGTCAACTGGCCATGAATACAGATCAACTTTCCAACCATAGCAGGACCAGAATTCGAGTTTAGTTTAGAGGCATAAGTGCTTTACAGACAAAGTAAACCAACCTGAATCTCTCTCGGAAAAGTCGCACTAAACAACAGTGTCTGTCTAACTCCACGTGGAGGCATGTCCATTTGTTCGACAATCTTTCTAATTTGTGGCTCAAAACCCATGTCCAGCATCCTATCGGCCTCATCAAGAGCTAAAAATCTAATCATCTGCATAGAGACTCTAGCCCTCTCGAGCAAATCATTTAATCGACCAGGAGTTGCCACAAGAATATCGACTCCCCTCTCAAGTTCCCGGAGCTGCACAAACAACAAAACACGAGATCAACAAAAACAAAAATTAAAACATACAGCAATGAAAATATCTACCAATGCTTCTGCATGTCACATATTACTGATAAATCCTTCTCAAGTAGAAAACATGCCAACTACAAAACCAAAATGTGTTTTTACACAAGGTGAACAGAACACGCTTGCAAATTCCCAAACAATAAGTCTCAGAAACAGCACATAAGACAGACAATAGTGACAGACGTATGAAGCATAATTCAGAAGTCAAAACCGAAGGCAGGGGAAAAAAGTGTATTTGCACAATGATTACCTGCTGGTTAATAGGTGTTCCACCATATGCAACAACAACCTTCACACCGGTTTGGTAGGAGAACTTCTTAGCCTCATCATGTATCTGCCAAAACCATAAAATGAGATACGAAAAATTGAATTTTTACCAAAGCGAATAGAATCTTTGACGTCGGAAGAGAAGACCAACCTGACTTGCCAGCTCCCTCGTTGGTGAGAGAATGACAGCAAGAGGGTAGACTGTCCGCGAGCCACGGGGTCTCTGTACATGCTGATCTTTCATAATCCCACTAATTATCGGAAAGCAAAAAGCAGCTGTCTTTCCAGACCCTGTCTGAGCACAGGCCATCAAATCCCTCCCTCCAAGCAGTATCGGGATCGCGTGGCGCTGCACGGGCGTCGGCTTTACATATTTGCACCTGCGGATGTTTAGATTCAGAGCCTCCCCAAGATCAATCTCCGCGAATGTGTTAACAGGAGGAGGCACATTATCCCCACTGGTCTCAATCGGAATGTCTTCATAGGCATCAAAGTTAATGGCTGTATTGTCCTGCTCAGCAAAGGCTGGTTCTGGTTCGGCGTCGTCGTTTTCAAAGGGGTTTGCTTCACGTTCCCTACGGTCCCATCCTCCACTTCTGTTGTTCCAACCACCACCACCACCACCACTTCCTCGTCCAGGATAGCCGTAGCCAGGACGGCCTGCATCAGCCCTATAAGGACCAGCAGGAGCTGCGGTGGGGCCAGGAGCCCATCGAGACCCAGAAGGTGGACCACCGTAGCCAACACGATCATTTGCTGGTGGCAATGGAGCAGCAGGCTCGGAAGACGCTTGCCTGTTCCTTAGATGTGGAGGAACATAAGCAGGTCGTGACGGATTAGAATTCTGACTAGTAGACCCAGAACCCGTGTTCTCTGAGTCAGCCACATCAGCCCATGATGCACTCATATTTAGAATGTATTCAAAAACTAGCTTCTTCGATATCGAAATCAATTTATCAAATCCTCGAAGCTGCTCCTTTTACTTTATATGTCTTTGAATGGAATACGAAAACCTGGAAAATCACAAGATGGGTTCCAAGTTAGAACAATAGCAATCTGAGAAGTTTAAATAAACGACGACCTAGCAAACCCAGATATCATAAATCGAATCCAACGAATAACTCAAGACGAATAAAAAATGAGAAATCAAAAGTCCAGTCTTCGGAGAATAGCATAATCCAACGAGGAAAAGGAAAAACGAATATAACAACACAAATGCCAACAGAATCACGCAAACATGAGAACAATGTTAACCTCAAAAGGGAAGAAAAAAAGGACAGAAATTGCAAAGAGCATATAACCCTAGCTGCAACTCGAAATCCAGAGGGATAGAGCTTCAAAACTCGGCAAGAGAATCCAAAAACGAATCGAAGAAATCAACGGTAAAGGCTTGGGGGGGGGGGAGAAAAACCCTAAAATTCGTCTGGTTACCTTTTGGGATCGGACACAGAAGGCGTGAAAATAGCTAGAGACGTATTGCGCAGAGCGATAGAATCAATAGAGAAAAGAGAGGTCGAGAGATATTTATTTGACTTTTGCTCTTCTTCTTATTAAAATTTCTCACAGATTGCGTGCCGTTTTCCATCCATCCCCTGTTTTCAACTTGCGTGTCGGTTATGTGGTATCGTACTACATTGTATGTCGGCGACTTACATTGGACTTGTTTGTGTTATTAAACTTGAAAATTATTCTACCAAATAAGTTTTTTTTTTTTTTTTTTTGGTTTTAGAGTCATAAATAATTTAACCAAAATAAACTCAAATCTAACTTAAATAAGTTTTCTTTAGAAAAATATTTTAGTTCTATAGATTTTGTTAAGTTATAGAAATTTTAAACTCAGGATACAAATAGCAACAAAAAAAAACAAACACATGATCTTGTCAACAAACTTATTCACTTATTCCTCCATTTGGCCAAAAAACCTGCCTGCGATGGTGATGAGCATATTAGCCATGATGAGAACTTGTTCATCTTCAACCTCTAACGCACGAAGGCTCGCACACTTCCTCAGAAGAGCCCTGAGAGAAGCGCAAGAATCAGCATCCAAAGGAGTGTCCACTGATGCACATAACGCCACTACCCATTTGCAGTCACTGCTCTCTAAACCGCTCTCCTTCTCAACCAAAGATATACGCTTCTTCAGCCTCGACACCCGCGTCACCGAGTCCATTCCTTGTATCTCTGCAACCACCCCACCACCAAATGACTCATCTGTCACTGCCTCGAGACGCTTGTTGAATATCTCCACGAGCACATCTTCTATAGACTGACTTGGCATCATCTCCTCATCCGGGTAGCACTTGTCGGCGGCATCTTGTGACAAAGCCTGTAAGAAAACCCACAACACTTGACTTCATATTTCTTGTCCATTTAGAGATACAACATGAAGAAAGGGATCAGAGAAAGAAAAAAAGTACCAGGCGAAGGTGTAAGAAGTCAGAAAGCAAAGAGTCTTCCCATTCTTTGACCGGCAACAGGTGCTCTGGGCATTTGGGGATTTCAGGTATTTGTGGCATGTAAACACTCTGTTCTTTCTTTATGTACTTGCTTCCATCTATCTCGGCTACTGTTACATTTGGAACTCGCTTAGCCTCCCACCTACAAGATGCGTGAGCACACTTAAGCATTTATGCGGGAAAATGCAGAGATACACAGAAAGATGGAAAACAGAGAGACACATATACCTGACTCGTCTTAAGTATTCAAACCCATCTTCTGGTGGTCCAGATTCGAAATCAGGTTCTCCATCCACCGCAAACGCAGGTCTTAAAATGCTATTGTAATCGTCATTATCTTCAGTGTACTCCTCCTCTTCTTCTTCAAGAGTTAACTCATCTATTCCTTCTTTGGTGCCTAGATTTTCTCAAGTCAAATTTGGAATTTTAGTGTGACTAGGTAAGTAACAAGAAACAGTCTTGCGTAGAAACAGATAAGAGCTAAAAGACCACAGAAAAAAATTAGCTTTCAAAAGTTTTGATTTTTATTGAAGGTGTATGTACATGTACAATTTTAACCAAAGAATCATGACCATACACATTTTGAACTAAAGAATCTCTCTATTCCCCTATTACAATCTGAACCAAAGAATCTATATACAGAAAGAATGACTGAGGTGTCAGCTCATGGAAGCGAAAAAGAACAAAGGACTTTGACAGTTTTGTGTCTAAGGAACGAGAAAACTGGTGAACAAAGGACTTTTGACAGACTTCTTCAGCTCACGGCTCAATGAACAAATATATTCACATGGTTTCCTCTTGGTACAGCCGATACGGGACCTGTGGAAAAGAAATCAAAAGGCCCCTATCAAAACGACATGCGACTGGAACCAAGGAGAGAATGGATAGATGAAAGAAAAGACCAAGAAGACATCAAAAAGGCTAGAGAGGATGAAAGACACTGAAGTGGTTTTAAACAGAGATACTTGGGAACAACTACTGTTGAAAGAGTACTCACTGACACTAAACCTGACTAGATTTTCTGTGATGACCCATTTGAGAAAGGAAACGTCATATAACCGTAGCAAAGAAAACCCATTTGAGTATAGGCGGAGAGACACACACACAGACACAAATATGCATCGGGTGATACATGAGCTAGATAATCTAAAACTGGAGTGACATAGTTTTCTTAGAACTAAAGTTTTTCTCAACATGTTCAACCAAAAACTTAACAACAGGCAAAAACACAAAATGCAGCAGATAAGATAAAAGTAAAGTATGTAGAGGGTTACCGAGAATACCGATGCCACTAGACTTTGAAGTCTTCTGATTCTTCAAGCTAACTAGACCTTCGTACTCAGTAACCAGCTCAGGTAGAAGCCTAGCATACATCTCACTCCACAGCTTCTTCTGGTTCGCAATGTGGGCATACCTCATCGACTTCATTTGCTTTATAGAGTACATTATCCGCAACTGCTTCCCACTCGTTTCAGAAAGTTTGGTTGATGCATTCCCTTCAACAACGTTCGAAGCGTTTCCCTTATATTGCTTCCCACCAATTGCTTTCTCTCCAACTTTCTTATGCTTTCTTGGTGCATCCTTGTCATTGTGTGCAGTTCCTGGTCTCTTGGGATGATCTTTACCTTTCTTGTAGCAAGGAACAACGTTGAGCAACGCAGTATCATCAACCACATCGATGTTCACAGATCTCCCAACGAAAGCATTGTCCTTCACTATCACTCTTTCCACTTTCTCAGGCTGCTCTTTAGATCCATTCCCATTCTTTTCGATCTCAGAAGCCCTAGCGAGCGTATCCATATCGTCCTTCTTCATGAAAATGGTCCCAGTTTCGATTTCAGCCAACAATCTTCTCTTCTCTGCCTCCAAAAGTCTCTGAACATCGGAATCGTGTACCTTCTTCTCGGAGTTCAAGCTTTCTTTCACATTAGGAACAAAGCCTTGAGTTTTAGAGATACAAACAACGGACCCATCAGTCTCAGCGACTTCCTCCATCTTGTGCACATCATCTCCAAATTGATCGCCTTCTGTAGAAATCTCAGAGATGTTCGCAGCAAACGTTTCCTTTATCTGTTTCAGCTCCTCACCAACCCTTTCGTCTTCAAGAAACGCGGAACCAGTTTCAGATATAGAAGAGACTCCAGGACAATCCGAATCCATCGCCTCGGGTTCTTTGGAAAACACCGAACTCGTTTCGGAGAAAGAAACTTCAACAGAATCCGAATGCATAGTTTCTCCATCTTTCTCAGAAACAGAAGCGAAAGGCGAAGACTTCACTTGCTTCTTTGGGCTTATCTCTCCAACAGAGTCGTTCTCTACTGGCGGCAAAGAAACGATTTTTAGCGAGTCTTCTGCAAAATTATCCCGAGAAATCGAAGGTTTCTCTGAGACTTGTGCCTCCTGCCCAAGACACTCATCGGAATCAGATCTCGTCGTCATCACGGAGAGCCGGCGAGAGAGAGAGAGAGAGAGAGAGAGAGAGAGAGAGAGGGAGAGGGATACGGATGAGCGCAAAACCCCTAATGAAAAAAGATTAGGCGAAGGAGAAGCAAAATAATTTCTTCTCGAAACAAGTAAATACTTAAGAAATAATTAGTTTGATTAACTATATATATAAAATAATAATTAAAATTAAAATCGGTATGCCCGCCTTTTTATAAATTTATACTTTAAATAAAATTGTTTAAGGCGTCAAACAAAAATTTAAAAGGGGGTATAATGGTAAATATCCGAGAATACAGCTCGAAAGCTACAAACCACTCGCTTCTCATCTCACACGCGCCATCTCAAATTTCGATCTTCTTTCACTGCACACAAAGCGAGAGACAGAGAGAGAGAGAAAGTGAAAAAAAAAAGCGAAGAATACGCAGATTCCATCCAATTTAGGGTTAGGACTTCCCCTAATTTGGAAACCTAGTCCTGGTTCCTGATCTGTTTTCCGAATCGGAAGAGAGGCAAGGAGGGCGAAAACGAAGCAACCAGAATGGGCGCGAATTCTATACCGACGGACGCAACCATTGATCTCGATGAGCAGATCTCGCAGCTCATGCAGTGCAAGCCCCTCTCGGAGCAACAGGTGCCTGCCACTTGCTCCTTTTGATGATAACTTTTCCTTCGCCCTTGACGTTTGTCTACCTTTGTTGTTATGGACTTGGGTTGTATCGATGATTGGATCTGCTTTTTTTTTTTTTCGAGTCGAGTGGTGTTAATTCTCTGTTTGAGGCTTCGTCGTGTTTGAGATTGTCTGATTTGATGTTGAGATATTCGATTTTATCGAAATGGAGATCTTCCGGGAAAAAAATGTTAGATCTTGACGTATGTGTTCATTTTCACCGCAGTTTTATGGGTTAGAGAATCGGATTTGCTTCTATGGTTTGATGATCGGATTCTTGAAATAAAGTGATTTAACCACATCTAAGCTCGTGTGTTTATGTGCCTGGTAATGTGGGTTCCTCTGAAAATCGGGATTCTCCTGGACTGCGTTTAGATATATTGCTATAGAGCTGGTGATGTGATGTAGATGATAAGATTTTGATTTCTTCGCATCAGTTAGCTGCATTACTGGCTTTTCCAGTTAGGGGGAAAAGAACAGAAAAGTTAAAAGGAAAACCTTTCTTAGAGCTATTGCAACTCGCTAAAGGACTTCAGTAGCTCATTTCAGCCAAAATACCTGATCAATAGTTGCATACTGGTTTTTTTTATTTGATTGATTTTCCTGTTTGGTGCCAAGTTGATTTCTCTAAGCATACATTTTTAAGTCATGTGTTGTTTAGTAATGATTATTACTGGTAATCCCGTATCTCTTTAGAAAGTAAAGAGTTGAATATCATATGCTACGTTGTTTTATTTTCTGTAGGTAAGAGCATTATGCGAGAAAGCCAAGGAGATTTTGATGGATGAAAGCAACGTCCAGGTTAGTTCGTGGCCTTGCATCTCTCTTTGGTTGAATCATTTCTCTCACCGCTCTTGGTGATAATATTTTTAATGTGGTAGACTGTGCTACTAGCTCCTGAATTCATTCTTTAACCACGTTTCTTAACTCTTTCCTGCATGCAGCCTGTGAAAAGCCCTGTGACAATCTGCGGTGATATTCATGGACAGTTCCATGATCTTGCAGAGCTTTTCCGTATTGGGGGAATGGTAATTTAAAACTTACTGAGAATCACAATGGATGCTAATTTTATCTCTGCTCAGCATGCATCTTGTCTATCAATTACCGTTTTCATGCATTTGGCTGTACTACTTTTTTTTATCCATGTTTAGATAGCCCTACCAGTATTATAATTATTCATTTTCTCTCTCTTTTGCAGTGCCCTGATACCAATTACCTCTTCATGGGAGATTATGTTGACCGTGGTTATTATTCTGTTGAAACTGTTACGGTACGAGAATGATATATGCAGACTACTTCTTTTTTCATTTAAGAGTAGTTTGATTAATCGGCTAGCTAGTCCTTGTCTTTTTATATTGGTAAATGATATCTACTGTGCTGGATATTTTTGCTCTACAGCATAAATACTTTTGTCGTAATATGAAGTATGTTGATATTATTTCTCCTTTTTTTCTCTTTCCAGCTGTTAGTCGCTTTAAAGATGCGATATCCTCAGCGAATCACCATCCTTAGAGGAAACCATGAAAGTCGTCAGGTAGACTAAGGCTTTATGACCTTATTACTCTGTATCCACTTGTAAATTTACCTTCTGAGGTTAAATACAGTACAGCATTGTCTCTCCACTCCTTTTTTCCATCGTTGATATCTTGGTTGGCACACATTTTTTCTAATTAAATTCCATGTCTACAACATACATTTCGCATAGTTTGTTGGTTAGTACTTTTCTGTCATCCTACTTTATCTGACGCAGGCTTTCCTTCTTGTTTGTTCTGTCTGGCAGATCACTCAGGTTTATGGATTTTATGATGAATGTCTGCGAAAGTGAGTCTTCTGAAAAATCCTTATTTTGTAGACGTTGCTAATTGCATGCTAGTAATTTGTATCATCATCGCATTACTCGTGTTCTTTTTTTTGGCGGTTGACACATATATGTGGGTGTTGTTGTATGTCCAAATTGTCCTTCTTTCCCTCCCTGTCCTACCTGTTTCTGTTAATCCTTCAAGCTTATGATAACTTGCTTATGGTATTGTTCTTATACTGTCTTATATTACACATCCGAGTTTGAAGCTTATTAACCTCTACCTAGAAATGCATTTGATTATTTGGGTTATAGAGTTTGCAACTTGGTTAACAAAGGTTGCTTTTCTTGCAGGTATGGCAACGCAAATGTTTGGAAAATCTTTACAGACCTTTTCGACTATTTCCCACTCACAGCCTTGGTTAGTAGTGCCTATCTGGTTTTACGCCTTTCTTCCTCTTTTATGATGTTGGGTTCACATGATGTTAAGTCCTGTAGTCTTTTAATATAGATTCTCAGTCCTTCGTCTTGTGCTGGCAAAATTGCTTTTGTATCGTGCTGCCGTATTTCTTTTGCTAGTGTCACATCAATTGCAAGACGATAGTATTCTGAAAAATGCAAAGAATGGAAGATCTTATATATATTTGGAAAATAACATGTATGACTTATCTGTCTAAACCGATGGTGTTTTCTTACCTTTTTCTGGTATCATCAAATCATTATGTTATTCCATTGCAGGTTGAGTCGGAAATATTTTGCCTTCATGGTGGATTGTCTCCATCTATCGAGACCCTTGACAACATAAGGAATTTCGATCGAGTTCAAGAAGTGCCCCATGAAGGGCCGATGTGTGACTTGTTATGGTCTGACCCTGATGACCGTTGTGGGTGGGGCATCTCTCCACGTGGTGCCGGATATACATTTGGTCAGGTAATCACAAGTCTCAGAAGTTCCTTGAATTTGTTTCTCTATCTCTCTTTCTTTTTCAAGCAAATGCCTGATTTTGACTTTCATCTATTTTCATTTTGTTTCCATAGGATATATCCGAACAGTTCAACCACACAAACAACTTAAAGCTGATCGCCCGAGCCCATCAGCTGGTTATGGATGGATACAACTGGGCTCATGTAATAACTCACAACTCAACCTTTCCCTATTCCTTTCATAGCTTTGTGAGGCTTGAGATTCTTTGCTCACTAGTATACTTTTCTCCCCGTCGACAGGAGCAAAAGGTGGTTACTATCTTCAGTGCACCAAACTATTGTTACCGTTGTGGGAACATGGCTTCGATTCTTGAGGTTGATGACTGCAGGAACCACACCTTCATCCAGGTCTTGCCTCATAACCCAGATGTCTTGTCTGCTAATGATATTAATGTAGAAGTAACCAAAAAAAGCTAACTAAAGTTAAAAACTATGAGTGCAGTTTGAACCAGCACCGAGGAGAGGAGAACCAGACGTTACTCGAAGAACACCAGACTATTTCCTGTGATCACTTGGAACAGAGTAATCTCAGCAGCTGCAGCCACAACTGAAAAGTCACAGTTGGTAACTTAAGAATCTGGTTTCTGTGCAATGTGTTGAGGTTGCTGTGTTTTAAGTTCAACTTAGTCCCATCACCGGAATATAGTGTGTATTATAAGCGAAGAAGGCCCCTTCTCTTATCTTCCTCTATAACCAAGAAAAGAACAAAGGTCACTGGACTCGACAATACCCATTATGCACATTGTTTGGTTGATGTTATTAGCTTCTTCTTCTTCTTCTTTCTGCATCAGAATGTGTTTTCATGTGAGAGATCTTTCTTAATTTTATTTCTTGTAATTCTTCTCTCAAATTTTACTATTTTTTAGTCTTATAAATCCAATGAAGCTTATTGATTGGAACTTTGAAGTTTTGTTTTTGGAGATAATACTTTTCGCTTCTTCGTCTTTCTTTGAAGCTGAGTCCGTCTCTCTCTGTCTCGCTTAAACTTCATTTACCAACAATACGGAAGGTTTTAGGTAAAAGAGAACGCTCGTCAACACGACCTGCACATTTTCTCACCCATGTGATTAAACTAACTAAACGTCATCTAAAAATTATTGTGGTATCCAAACTTGCTTAATTTCATATGATTTGCAGTAAATTGCAACTATTTCCCGCGTAAAGGAAAAAAGCCCAACAAACAAAGCCCAAAGTGATGGGTTGGTTTCTCTCCCTCTCTCTCCAACTACTTTCGCAGACCTAAAATCATCTGCCGTGTCTTTCACTCCAAACACTCCTTAAAAGATAGGATCTCTTTTTATGATCTCAATAAACGAAAACACCCTACCGATTAGCATAAAAGTTGGGTGGGGATTCTATTGGAATTCTAAACGTTTTGCTTTTAAAAGAGACATTAGGTTAGAGAAGAAACAAAACAAACCTAAACACGACAAGTAGTCAGGTAAACTCAGTAAGTACAAAACACATGACGGGTTTCATAGCGAAAACAGCATCATATATAAAATGTGCAGAAATAGAAGTTCCGATTAAGGATTAAAGGACAATCAATAATGGAGTATGAGTATGACTACTTCTGTCGTCATGACGGATTTAGATTTTTTTTATATATAAAATTCGAAAAAATTATGAGCCTCGTAAAGTCGACTAGTCGTAGAGTACAGCGGGTTTTTGCTGGTCGAGACTGCATGAATTGTGCGGTCCACTCCACGAACTATTTATATATTGACATATTAATATGTCAAGTTATATATTTCTAGATAAATCTTATATCTTGATTTGAAATTATATATCATATCATATACTATATTTATAAAATTTTCACAGTTATGTTTTTTTTTTTGTGTTGCTTTGAATCCATATTTAAAAACACTTTGATCACTAACGTTTGAGTTTTTGAATAGTTTCATGTAATGTATTTTTAATAATTCATTTTTAATATTTTCTAGTTTTTTTAATAATTTTGCCAAAATAGACATAATAGAGGCAAATGCTATTTTGTACCTTTTTCTTTTGTAACGTTTACTATATATAATTTTTTCATATTTCTCAATTTCCCCATATATATGTGCTTGACATTTTTCTTGATTATATCTATCTACATTATCTTCTTTGAAACTTCTTTGTTGAAAGAAAGGAAATAGACAGAAAAAAACAGAGGGTCAATTGATCACAGACAAATGATCAATCCATCAAAGAGAGAAAAGAAACAAAAATTTAGATTAGGTTCCAATTTGAGGTTGTGCCAAAAAAAAAAAGGTTCCAATTTGAGATAGAACCTAAAGAAGAAATACATTTTGATTCAATAAAAACATTTGCACAACTGTATTTATGCACAATTAGAGATATATTAATCTAGAGAAAAATAGACAATATCCTCAATCTTTTGGGAATGATCATCTCCTAATTATGATATACAAATTATAACACCTCCCAATATACTTATTCATCCTTATTCCCTTCCTTTCTTTATTTCTGATTTTATCTATTGACTTAATATATAAAAATATGTTTCAACTTTTTAAATTGTTAATCGACACGTAAAATAATATTTTTTAGTATATTATGAATTACTGAATTAGTAAGTGCAAATAGTGCATCCACGTTGCTCTCCAAGTTGGAATTTGTTTTTTTTTTATTTAAAAAAGAAGCAAAGTTGATAATAACATGTACTGTATATATACTTGTTAAAGTAGAGCCCACAAATGTTAGGCTTGGCCGCTTCTGCTTTGGACTGAAGCCACAACAAAATCAAAATAAGAAATAGCAAATTGAATCAGTGTTTTCTTCCACCACCACGGGAAAGGTACGATCACATATAACTGAGAAACTCAGATCCGGCGAGGTGAATCCACCGTCCGAGGAAGCTTTCGAACTTCTCGTCACGGAGCTGAAGTCGAGAGACAGTAGCTGTGATTTGTGTGTCATCGGCGATCGGAGATTTATCACCTGCCTAATCGGTGATTTCGAGAACTTAAGCCTCTTCCACCTGCGGAATCTTCCCGGAGTTTCTTCTTTTTTTAACCGAGAGAGGTTGAGAGAAGGGTGGGGAAGATCAAGCGACGGATAGAGATAGGTTTTGCTGTATGTCAGTAGACTGTGTTGAGACTTATTTTGGTGGATTTGGAGAACTCGTGAACCCTATTCAATGGCCTCAACTTCGAAAAAGGCGACGGCATGTACTCACCACGGAGACTCTGCTCCGCCTCCGAAGCTCGTCTCCGCCGTGGCCAATACGGTTGCTCGATGGTCCGTCGGAAGCTCCGATGGTGAGGATCAGCGAGCCTCTAAGGTTGCTTTGGAATCCGTAATCCGTCCTGTCGATTCGCTTCCCGATACGGCCAAGAAACCTGCTAACAAAGGTAACTGACTCTGTTTCGTAGTTTAGAGAATCTTACTATCTGCCTTTGGATTTTGATCGTTGATCATTGTTCTGCTCTATATATTTCTTGATATTGAATCGCCGTTTGTTTGAATTACTGAGTTCTTGTTCAATTGAATTCTTGATGATGGTTACGATTTGTGAAGTTGGTTGTTGTGTGCTGCTATCAGTATTTGATTGCTTCTCTTTTAGACTTAGACATTGATATGCATTGTACCAATGCAGGAATCTCTGTCATGCCAAGGACGGAAACTAAGCACCCGTTGGATCCTCTTTCTGCTGCAGAAATATCAGTTGCGGTGGCGACTGTTCGCGCCGCCGGTGCCAACCCTGAGGTGCGGAAACTTTGTGCTTCTCGAATCAAATGTAGCATTGTGCTGAAGATATGGTGGTCATCGATTTCACTGAAACTGTTTGATTTTTGTTTTTGGCAGGTTAGGGATAGCATGCGTTTCATCGAGGTGGCGTCAGTGGAACCAGAGAAGCATGTTGTGGCGTTGGCAGATGCTTACTTTTTCCCTCCGTTCCAGCCATCACTGCTTCCAAGAAACAAAGCTGGACCTGTGATTCCTATGAAGCTCCCTCCAAGGCGAGCAAGACTTGTTGTGTACAACAAGACGTCTAATGAGACAAGTGTCTGGCTCGTGGAGTTATCTGAAGTTCATGCTGTCACTCGGGGTGGGCATCACAGGGGAAAAGTTGTTTCCTCACAAGTGATACCTGATGTTCAGCCACCCATGGTATGCTTTAAGGAAATGAATTTATTAAGTGAATTTAGATTGCTACTTTTGTTTGTGAGTTTCTCAGTCTTGAAGTCTTGTGATTTTAGGATGCGGCTGAATATGCTGAATGTGAAGCGATTGTCAAAGACTTTCCCCCATTCATTGAGGCAATGAAGAGGAGAGGTATCGACGACATGGATCTAGTGATGGTCGATCCCTGGTATGTCAATAACATCCTGGTTTCTGCTGAAAGTTGTTAATTAAGATGTACTTTTTCCTCTGAGTCTGCCTCTGAATTTATTGTGCAGGTGTGTAGGTTATCATAGTGAAGCGGATGCTCCTAGTCGTCGGCTTGCGAAGCCCCTTATATACTGCCGGACTGATAGTGATTCCCCTATGGAAAATGGCTATGCTCGTCCAGTTGAGGGCATTTATGTACTTGTAGACATGCAGAACATGGTGGTGATTGAGTTTGAAGACCGAAAATTTGTGCCACTTCCCCCACCTGACCCTCTGAGGAATTATACCCCAGGTGAAAGTAGAGGTGGTGTTGATAGAAGTGATGTTAAGCCTCTCCAGATTATTCAGCCTGAAGGTCCGAGTTTTCGCGTAAGGGGTTACTTTGTCGAGTGGCAGAAGGTAGATTTTCCAGTAATAATCTAACTAAAACCAGGTGATTATTGTTAAGCTTATTTCTTGACTGGCTCAACATTTTTGTTTACAGTGGAACTTCCGTATTGGGTTCACTCCAAGGGAAGGCTTAGTCATACATTCGGTAGCTTATGTTGATGGCAGTCGAGGACGAAGGCCTGTTGCACATAGGCTAAGTTTCGTGGAGATGGTTGTGCCTTATGGTGATCCGAATGAGCCACATTACAGGAAAAATGCTTTTGATGCAGGGGAGGATGGTCTTGGAAAAAATGCACACTCGCTTAAGAAGGTTTGAAATCATTTGATGTGTTCTCATTCTCTAATCAGATCTCGGTTTGCGTTTAACAATTAGGTTTTATAGGGGTGTGACTGTCTGGGATCTATCAAGTACTTCGATGCTCATTTCACAAATTTCACTGGAGGAGTTGAAACAATTGAGAACTGTGTATGCTTGCATGAAGAGGACCATGGGATTTTGTGGAAACATCAGGACTGGAGAACAGGATTAGCCGAAGTGCGAAGATCTAGGAGACTAACTGTCTCCTTTTTATGTACCGTTGCTAACTACGAGTATGGATTTTACTGGCACTTCTACCAGGTAAGCGAGAAACGTGATTAACATTTCTAGAGTAAAGCAGATATTAGTCATCTTTCCCATCTAATTTCTATAAGGAAGACAATGATACGTCTATGCATGAGAAAAAATCTTGAGTTTAGAACGGTAGCTCGTAATTTTTTAAGCCTTAACACTCTGCTTGTGATTGTTCAGTTGGGGACATTGATTTACAGTGCTGAAGTGTCCATCCGAGTTTCATTTGTTTGCTGATGTGTATCTTGTTTCACCTTTCTAGATATTTGAAGACCAATATTCATTTATGCCTTGAATGTCTTGATGTAGGATGGGAAAATCGAAGCTGAAGTAAAACTTACTGGTATCCTCAGTTTAGGAGCGCTGCAGCCAGGAGAAGCTCGAAAGTACGGTACTACTATTGCTCCTGGGTTGTATGCACCAGTCCATCAACATTTCTTCATTGCTCGCATGGATATGTCTGTTGACTGTAAACCTGGTGAAGCTTATAATCAGGTACCTTTACTTTGCCGCTGTTCTTCTTCCTGTTCACTTACACAGGCGGATTTTTTCAGAAGTCTCTATAGTCCTTGCTAGGTGATTTTTACTGAATGTACTATTTATCTGTAGGTAGTTGAGGTAAATGCTAGAGTTGACGAGCCTGGCGAGAACAATGTCCACAACAATGCGTTTTTTGCGGAAGAGAAGTTACTTAGATCTGAGGCAGAGGCGATGCGTGACTGTGACCCTCTTTCTGCTCGCCATTGGATTGTAAGCAACATACGTACCTTGCACGATCATGTCCACTATTCTTTAGTCTACCTCTTATCTGAAAGCATCAATTTGTTGCATTTTTAACAATCAATGGTATACGTATGCAAGAAGTATATTCCACGAATAAGTTTTTCTTGTTGTAATATGTTGTCAGGTAAGGAACACAAGGACAGTAAACAGGACGGGGCAGTTAACGGGATACAAACTTGTTCCGGGATCAAACTGTTTGCCATTAGCTCGACCCGAGGCCAAGTTTCTAAGAAGAGCTGCTTTCCTGAAGCATAATCTCTGGGTTACCCGTTATGCCCCTGAGGAGAAGTTTCCGGGAGGAGAGTTCCCAAACCAAAACCCACGTGCTGGCGAAGGTCTCGCCACATGGGTAAAACAGAATCGCTCCTTGGAAGAATCTGATGTCGTTCTTTGGTCTGTATTCCTTCTTCTCACATTATCCGATTCAGTTAAAAAAACTCAATAGTGGTTACCAAGTTTGTGACTTTCAATGTGGAATTTTCGTTTCACAGGTACGTGTTTGGGATCATACATGTTCCTAGACTTGAAGATTGGCCCGTTATGCCCGTCGAACATATTGGTTTCACACTGATGGTAAGCCAAATCTTTTTGTCTGTAACTTTCAATCAAAAAACATTGTGGTTAACATGGTTTCTGGTTTTTGGTTTTTGACAGCCACATGGGTTTTTCAACTGCTCACCGGCCGTAGATGTACCACCAAATCCAGCATGCGAATCAGATGCCAAGGACAGTGAGGTCAAAGAGGTTGTAGCACCGAAGCCTCTTCAGACCGGTTTACTTTCAAAGCTTTGAAGAAGACAAGACTCTTTTTTTTTTTCCCTCCTTTTATCTTAAAAATTGGAGACATTGCTGTTGCTCAATTCAATTTCGGATTTGAATCTTTTGTTGATTGGTGTGTTGGTTGCAGACGTTAAAAAAACATTTGTTATTGGAATGTTGTTTTTCTTTTCTCTAACATTGTCGTTTTGAAATAAAATAAGAACTTGTCAAATCTCAGTCGAAAGAAAATAGACCTGTCTTTGAGATCTTAAGATTTTTAGCCACGTTGGATCTTAAGCTCACGAGCCTGAGCAATTTCTTAGAAGATTGTCTTTGCTTAGGTGTGAGTTTCCACATGCATTTGTGTCACATATTTTTACGGGATTCTTTTGATACACAGAATATTATGTAGATTTTTATGGGATATTTTTTTAAATTATATTATAGATAGAAAACACTTTTATTGTAAATTCTACTAGGGTTTTGATAAGTTCATTTTCATTTCTTGTTTTTTGGCTATGATTGAGTATTTTCTTCATTTTTGCCGCCTCCTCTATAAACAGAGGGCTTATCTGTGGAACTATCAAACAGAATTTTGATAGAAATTCATTTCATCTTTTGCTCAAGTAAGAAAATGTAAAAAGGGTTTTTGGTGGGATATGTGGAACCAAAAACCGAGTTTCAGGTTTGAGATAGAAAACTTCTCCGAGAAAGAAAACGGCGTAGCTTCTCATATATTCGTGAGTGGCGGATGCGAATGGTAAATCTGGAAGAATCGGATTGTTAAACTCTCTCTCTCTCTCTGTCTTGAAGAATAAAAAAGTTGTAGCTAGAAGAAGTGACGTATTCGAACGCATTAAGGGGTTTAATCTTTGTTGTTTTTTTTCATTCTTTCTCAGGTTTCTTAACGTCTGGCCGAAAGGGCATCATTTGATTGGTGATCACTTGGCTGTGTATCTGTACGCAAATCGAAACTCACTTGGATGGAAAAGGACAGCTAGTTATTACTACGTTGCTTTGAATCAATCCTACAAAGAGCTCTACAGATCACCTGGTAATGAAGCTATCAATACCATTCGATCTTTAATAGTGCATGCTAAAGAAGTTGACCCACGTAGCGATCGATCTTTAGCCATATAGAATATATATTAGCATTCAAACTTACCGTAAAGCATAGCTTTTTTCTTATAGGAATTTGCAAGAATCTTTGTGATGACTGATGAGAGCTTATATAGATCGTTGTGTCGTGTTTGAATCTTGATTAGACATCATCTTTTCTATACGGAGGCATGTGACTGATTAAGACATTAACTTAAATTTATGTTCGTGTGTCTTTTTTGTTTGTTTGTGTTTCATAGTTGAACTGAACAAAGTGTTTGGGGCTGAGATTCCGGGCCGGGTTTTCAGGTTTCCCCAAAACTTTAATTTTTCCAAGCCTCCCAAAGGTTGTCTGGAGAACGACAAACTCATCATTGAGTTATACATTAAAGTTGTCGAATCTGTTGATGGAGATGTATCAGAGAAGAAGGAGATTGAGTGTATCAACGGTTTTCACGTTTGTGCTTCTCAGGTAATTAAGCTAAATGATTTTTTTTTGTTTCTGAATAAACCAGTTGCTTCTTTGGTTAGCGTAAACATTCTTTACCGTTGCAGATTACACTAGTGAGGGAGATATTCGCAGAGCACCCAGACATTGCACAACATTTCAAACCAAAGAACCAAGTGGTGAAGACGGAATACATGAATGTTCTCCTTGACCTCATTACGACACTAAACAAGCCTCCACATCGTATCTCAGAGGCTGAAATAAGCAGCGCTCACAGCGACTTGAGTGAGCTAACGGACGCTGGTTTCAAGCTAGAGTGGCTGAAGACAAAGATTGAAGAGGTTTCCTTGAAGTGTAAGAAATCAGATGATGCTAATGGTTCTCGGGTTCAACAACTTGAGGAACGCATCAAGAATCTCGAGCTGATGGATTTGGGAAGCTTGAATTCAAAGCTTGAAGAGATTTCCTCGGAGAGGAAGAAGAAGGCCGATGCTGAGGGGTCTCGGGTCCAACAACTTGAGGAAAGCGTCAAGAATCTTGAGCTGATGGTGTTAGATCTCAAAGCGTTACTGGACAATGAGAAAGCCAAATATTCTGACGCTGCGTTTTTGTTGGTTAATGAGGTTGCTTGATGTAATAGATTTTCCTTAGTAAACACTGCTTCCGTTTTGTCGTTGGAGCAGAATGAGAGATCAGCCAAATCTGCAATTCGTAAAGAAAGTCATCATTCATTATCTCGGCTTAATCAGACGATATGGTTTCGTTCTGTGTTTTGTCCGCATCACATTTTCGTTGGATAATGTTTGAGTTGATTCCAAGATTACAAACGAATTATCCTCAAGCTCAAGAAGTCTGAATCAAAATCACAGACCACACTAGATTAAAACGCATTTGTCTTATTGCAACTATTCCCTTAGGACTCTTTCACTATTTGTTAATTTTTCTTCGATGTCAAAACCTAAGAGAAGGGATTACTAGTCAGATTGTTATCATTTATGTATAGTAAACCTACACTTTAGCTTCTTGGAGTTGTTGTTGTCTGTGTATCCTCAAAGAAGCAGACAACTATTAATTTTTTAGTCGGTTATTCAATATTTAATTAGTAGAATTTTCTGATAATGTGTTTAACTTTCTCTATGTCAGTCAGAATTTTTTTAAAAGTCTCTCTCACTCTCCTCCCCCTTGATATATATCTTCTTCTTTTTTTTTGTTAATAAGAAACTAAGAATATCTTATATTTTTTGTATAAAAATTGAATTTTTGACATTAGTACTGTAGAAATATTTTGTACAAATAAATCTGAATACGAAATCTCAGCAAAAAAGCTAGAAATCTCAACTTATCATGAAGAAATAGGGTTTTAATTAATTTAATTTATTCTGAGTATTCCTATTTCCTATTGAGATAGGGTTTTGAAAAAGTTTATCTTTTTCTTTCTGCCTCCGCTATAAATAGAGGACTTATGAATGAAAGAAAATATCACAAAATTGCTAGAAACAACAACTCTACCAACAAAATCTACAAGAAAGCGTATTGATCAAAGATGTGGAATCAAAAGCCGAGTTTTAGGTTTGAGATAGAAAACTTCTCGGAGAAGGAATCTGTTATAGCGTCTCAGACATTCGTGGGTGGCGGATGCGAATGGTAAAACGCAGAAGAATCGGAACTTTAAGCTTTGTGAAACTCTCTCTATTTGACTGTATTTATACGTAGCACCGACTAAAACGTGTTTAACCTTTGTTTTTTTGTGTTTATTCTTTCAGGAACATATTCGTTTATCCGAAGGGAGAAAGTCTTTGTGCTGATCACATGTCTTTGTACCTCAGTGTTGGAAATCGTGAATCATTGAGAACTGGATGGAAAAGGAGTGCTGCTTTTTATTTCGTTGTCTTGAATCAGTCGGACAAAGAGCTCTATAGATCATCAAGTACGTACTGAAGTTATATATCCCTTCCATGTTTTGACTCTTTTTCTTGTTTCTTTTTGTTTTTGAAATTTCATGTGTGTTCGGAATTTACAAACGGTTATGCACTAGAGACGAGATCACCTATTGGTTCCAAAAATAGCATAAGAATATATCTCATATCAGATAAGAGGATCTTCCTTCCGACTTAGGAAGACATACCTATATGTTTGAATTTATAAGAGGTAGCAACTATACATAACCATGTGACTGCTGAATTAGTTGACTTGATTGTTTTTTTTTTGTGTCTTTTCTTGTTTATGTTCCACAGTTGCACCAGCAAGCACCTTGTTTTGCGCTAAGAATCCAACATTGGGTTTCCGAAAGACCTTGCTTCTAAGCAAGTTTAATGAAAAAAGATTTTTGGACAAGGACAGAGTCATAATTGAAGTCTACATTAAAGTTGCTAAAGCTGTTGATGGAGAAGGTGGAGATTTATCAGAGAAGCAGGAGACTTGGGATATCCACGGTTTTCAAGCTTTTGCTGCTCATGTAAGTTAAAAAAAAAAGGATATGTCTCTTCTTTTATTTTGGAATAAACCTACAACTTTCTTTATAGGGCCGAGTAAAAGATACACGTTTTCCTTGGCAGGTTAATACTTCAGTGAGAAAGATATTTGCGGAGCACGTGGTGAAGACAGAATACAAGAATGTCCTAAGCAACGCTTGCAGCAAGTTGAGTGAGATGGCGGAAGTAGGATCTAAGCTGGACTGGTTGAAGTCTAGGCTTGATGAAGTTTCCTTGAAGAGGAAGAAAGCAGATGATGTTGAAGGGTCTAGAGTCCAAAAGCTCGAGGAACGCATCAAAAATCTCGAGCTGATGGATTCGGGGCTCAAGATGGACGGTTTGAGGTCAAATCTTGAGGAGATCTTATTGGAGAGGAAGAAATCATATGATGCTAATGAGTCTCGTGTCCAAAAACTCGAAGAACGCGTCAAGAATCTTGAGATGATGGAATTAAATGTTAAACTGGTTTGTTTGAAGTTGAAGCTTGAGGAGGTATCCTTGGAGAGGAAGAAATCAGATGACGCTGATGATTCTCGGGTCCAACAACTCGAGGAAAGCTTCAAGAATCTTGAGATGATTGTTTCGGATCTCAAAGTTGAACTTGACCATGCCACCAAATCTTCTGTTGATGAAATTTTCTTGGTCGAGGAAAGCTTCAAGAATCTTGAGATGATGGTGTTGGAACTCAAAGCGGAAATGGAAGAGGGGAATGCCAAATATTCTTCTGATGAGTTTTTCTTGGTCGACGAGGTTGAATGATGAAGCAAGAAATCAACTTATAATTAGTTTATAGATTTTCTCTAGTGGACAAAACCACCGTTTTCATTTTTTTTCGTTTTTTTTTTTAATTGCTTTCTGGAATAATGATATAGCCTAGAGATCCGGCGTAATCAAAAGAAAATATTATTTTGATGGTTTCATTCTTTGTTTTATCCGCGCACTTTTGATGTTTTTGTTCGATCATACTTATAATTTTGGGTTAATAGCATATGTGCACTAATCCCAAAATTAACCAAGCAGTTTTTCACGCTTGAGAGAGAGAACTTCATATATATTCCTAAGCGGCGGCTGTAATTAGAAAAAGGAGAAGAGCGAATTTGGGTTTTAATCGTTTTGTAACTCATCCATCTTAGATTTGCTAAGATTATCATCAACTTGAGATCTTCTTCCTCTGTTTCTGGCTATCTGTTAATAATCTCTCCGTTTTGATTTGATAATCTCCTAAAACATTATTGAGTCTTTGACCATTTTTGTTGGTGGTAGACTGTTGACGAGACTCCGAGAAAAATTTATAAACGGTTGTTAAATTTATTAAAGAGGATATGATTAGATTTGGTGAGTTCATATGATTGTTTTTGGTTTGTTATTTTTTAGATATAACTTTCAGGATAAAGTTTTGTTTTGTTTTGTTAAGGATTATTTGATTAATTATTTAGATGAAAATTTACAACTTGACAGAGGATTGTTTGTCAAATAATAGAGAGAAGAGGAAGATTTTGAATCATGCATTCGTCGGTTAAGTTTGGTTTATCTATTTACTTATGGTTATTTTTTGTCCGATTAATTAAGTACTGGTTTTAATTAAATAATTTTTATTTTTTTAGGTTTCCTTTTGAGCTAGGGTTTTGAGAAGTTTATCTTTTAGCCTCCTCTATAAACATAGGGCTTTTGATCAGCGAAAGTAACAAACTGTGTTTCTGAGAATTCCGTCTCTTGCTCGAAGTAAGAAATCTACGAAAGGGTTTAGGTCAGATATGTGGAATCAAATACCGAGCTTCAGGTTTAAGATAGATAACTTCTCTGAGAAGAAAGCCTTGATATCGTCTGATACATTCGTGAGCGACGGATGCGAATGGTAAAACGAAAACAATATCGGATCTTTAACTTAATTAGTTTAATTTGTTACACTATCTCTGTCGTGAAGAATAACGTGTTCTTAATTTAAAAACGGTTTAATCTTTGGTTCATATTCTTTCAGGTATCTCCAAGTTTATCCCAAGGGAGATCGTCTTGCTGAGAATCACTTGTCTTTGTACCTCCGTGTTGCAAATCATCAATCATTGCGAACTGGATGGAAAAGGAGTGCTAAATATTACTTCGTTGTGATGAATCAATCAGACAAAGAGCTCTACAGATCATCAAGTAATGAATGTTACATATCGTTCCCTCTTTTTTTTTTCATATCCTTCCATGTTGTTTTTGTTTGACATGTCTCACTTGTGCTTGGATTTTTCAAACGGTTATGCACTACAACATATCACCTATTGGTTCTAAAAAATATATAATGCTAAAGAAGTGTAGAGATTAAGTGGAAAGAAAGAAAAAAGGAGCAAATTAAGCAGCACATAGGGAGACACCATTGATTGTAAACTCATAAGGGACCACAATAAGCCAATTTGCAAGATCTATTCTGTGATTATCGGACCACTGTAATCTATGTTCTTTTGTTGCTGCAATAGGCCTTAACTCATGTTTGAATCTTGAAGAGGCAGCAACTGTATTCATTTTTGTTTTTGCCTTTATGTTTCACAGTAGCAAGCACCGTGTTTTGCGATAAGGCTCAATCATATGGTTGGCGAAAGACCTTGCCTATAAGCAAGTTTAATGAAGAAGGGTTTTTGGAGAAGGACAGGCTCATCATTGAAGCCTACATTGAAGTTGTTGAAGCTGTTGATGGAGAAGGCGGAGATGTATCCGAGAAGAATAAAACTGCGGTTATCAATGGTTTTCAAGTTTCTGCTTCTCAGGTAAGTTAAAAGGATCTGTTTTTATGAATAACCACTTGCTTTATAGGGTTGTTTCTTGGCGTATAGATTCAGATTCTGAGAAACGTAAACACACTTTTTCTTGGCAGGTTGCTTCAGCGAGGAAGTTATTCGCAGAGCACCCAGAGATCGCAGAAGATTTCAAACCAAAGAACCAAGCTGTGAAGACTGCATACATGAATATCCTCCTCAAGCTCATTAAAAAACTTCAAAAATCTCCAAAGAGCCTTTCAGAGACTAAACTAAGCGAGGCTCGCAGCCATTTGAGTGAGCTGGTGAACGTTGGTTTCAAGCTGGACTGGTTGAAGTTAAAGCTTGAGGAGGTTTCTTTGGAGAAGAAGAAATTAGACGCTAATGTGTCTCAGGCCCAAAAACTCGAGGAACGAGTCAAGAATCTTGAGCTGTTGGAATTAGGGTTTAAGCTTGACTCTTTGAATACAATGCTTAATGAGGTTCGCTTGGAGAAGAAGAAATCAGTTGCTGCTGATGAATCTCGCGCCCAAAAAGTCGAGGAACGCGTCAAGAATCTTGAGCTGTTGGAATTAGGGTTCAAGCTTGACTCTTTGAATACAAAGCTTAATGAGGTTTCGTTGGAGAAGAAGAAGTCAGATGATGCTGATGAATCTCGGGCCCAAAAACTCGAGGAGCGCGTCAAGAACCTTGAGCTGACGGAATTGGGCTGTATGAAGAATTTCTATGACTTTGACTTGGAGAAGAAGAAATCAGATGATGCTGTGTCTCGGGCCCATAAACTCGAGGGACGCGTCAAGCATCTTGAGCTGATGGTCTTGGGATTTAACCTGGACAGTTTGAATTCAAAGCTTGAGGAGGAATCCTTGGTGAGGGAAAAAACAGATGATGCTAATGAGTGTCGAATCCAACAAATCGAGGAACGCGTCAACGATTTGGTATTGAAGCTGAACTTTTTGGACACAAAGCTCCACGAGGTTTCCTTAGAGAGGAAAAAATCTGATGATGCTGAGGGGTCTCGGGTCAAACAACTCGAGGAAAGCGTCAAGAATCTTGAACTGATGGTGTCGTGTCTTCAAATTGAACTGGACAAGAAGAAGGACAAATCTTCTGATGATGGATTTTTGTTGGTCGACGAGTTTGCTTGACGTAGAGAGATCAAATTATTATTTTCTTGAAAAGGCACTAACTACTATCGTTTCATATTTTCTTTTCGTTTTTATCTTTGCTTTTTTTATAACCTAGAGATCCCGGCTTAGTGAAAAGGTCTAGTTATATGTCTCTGTTCTTGAACGTTGCAAGCTATGTTATTTTGCTCACACATTTAATTTTCAGACTTTTTGGGGTTTCAAATTTCATTTGTATTGTGAATTAGGCTTCAAGCTATAGATTCATAGTAATAATTAATCAGCCGGGTAAATTTTGAGGCCTCAAGTTATTGAGCTCCTGTTACATAAACAAAACTAAAGGCTCAATTAAACAAGAGTGTAAGCCAAAACTACTCAACAAATGACAAGATTCTTCGGTCGTCTCCAGGTGAGAGAAACTCTGCATCACAAGCTAACATCCAATATGTGTAGATCAACAAAAACTCAAAACAAATTCCAAAACTATTAGTCAGCCCATTGGGGAATTATTGAGCCAGATGCAATCTGAATAACACTATAAACTGACAATCATGGTCTCGCTTCTGAATTTAATATGGGCCCTATCACTGATGATATTGAAAAAAACAAAAATAAAACCAAACATAAAAAACACTTACAAATATATATTTGATATTGAAAAGTTTGTCTTGATTTATAGAAGATATATAAAGTATTCGTGGAAGGTATGTTATACTTTCCTCTAAAATATATATCGATAAACACTAGTAGGGATATGGATATGTTTTGTATATATGTATTGTGAGGTTTCATTTGACCTAGGAACTACATAACGTTGTTTTTTTTTTCGAGTCCTATTTATAAAAGTGTTGTGCCTCACTTTTCGAAGCACCAAACCCTAAAATCGGCAGAGCATTTTGGAGGAGATGGAGATGGAGTCGAAGGCTTTCAGTTGGGAGATAGACAATTTTTCGGAAAGGAACGATGTGATGGTTTCGGATCCTTTCTCAAGCGGTGGCTGCGAATGGTACAAGGAGAAGAATAATTTGTTAAAGATACTTAGATTTCTTACACAGATCGTCTAGATAGATAGATGTCTCTGTTTAATCTGAGGTTTTCTATTAGGTCCCTTCGTCTTCATCCCAAGGGAAATTTTGCGGATAGTCACTTGGCTCTGTTCCTGTGTGCTGTGAATCCCGGATCATTGCTACCTGGATGGAGAAGACTCGCTAGTTTTGGCTTCGTTTTGTTGGATCAATCTGGCAAAGAGCTCTTCAGAACAGCTGGTATGCTATGATCTTCTCTTCCATTGCTTTTTTTTTTGAATCAAGAACTTAGAAGCAGTGTGATTATACATATAGACTGATGAAGAAGAAAAGTTGATATATCTTTTTCTTCTTTTTTTTTGGGGGGGGGGTACTTACAGAAGCAAGCAGATTGTTCTGCGCTGAGAATCAAGACTGGGGTTATCAAAGAATGTTGCCTCTTAGCGAGCTTCAAAAAGAAGGGTTTTTGGAGAACAACAAACTAACCATTGAAGTCTACATTAAAGTAGTTAAAGTTGTTCATGAAGGAAAACCAACTGAGACTTTGATGGTAGATATTAATGGTTTCCATGTTCTTACTACTCAGGTAAGTCTAGGTTCCACTGGTTTCTTTCTCTTCTTTTGGTTCTCACAAGTGCATTCCAGCTTGGTTTATATACAGTCTTGATTTTGGTTCTCACAACTGAGACTTTCTCTTCTTTCTCTTATTTTGTTGTTGTTGTTGTTATATATCCACTTAAATATACGTACAGTCTGGATTTTGGATATAGTTAGCTTAACTACATCTTCTTTTTATCATTGGCAGGGTATCTCAGTGAGCAAGATTTTCGCACAGCACCCAGACCTTGCAGTAGGTATAAAATCAGATATCAGTGAGGTGAAGACAGCCTACATGAATATTCTCCTCGGCCTCATCGAGACACTTGGCAAGCCTCCTCAGAGCTTGTCGGAGACTGAGCTAAGAAACGCTGACAACGATTTGAGTGAGCTAACAGAAGCTGGCTTTGAGCTGGATTGGTTAAAGTCAAAGCTTGAGGAGGTTTCCTTGGAGAAGAAGAAGGAGAAGAAAACAGTTTCTGATCTCAAATCTGCTCCTGCTCCTGCTCCTAGAGTTTATTCGTTTGGGTCAATAGATTGTTTTATAAAGAGGTTCTTTTTGTCTTGCTTCTCAATCTCAAACTGCTAACTATGTTTTGTAGTGAAAGTCTGGTGAGTTTTTTTTCATTCAAACTGTTTTTCTGGTTAAAGTGTTCTGATCCTAGAAACTTTCTCGCTTAGACATCGTCACATAAACCAGACGTGGGGACGATTCGCTATGCTAGTTCTTATCATCACTTTTCTTAAACAAGTTTGAATTCATAATTTGTTTTGTTTTGTTTTCATTATTTGCCTTGTTCTCATCAGCACTCCCTGTCCCAAGAACTGGTTATTATATCATCCTCTGTAAATTAAATTATTAGGCGCTTACATATGAATCAATGTACCAGAACCCTAGATCAATAGTTTTGAAGACATGGGAACTCAATAGAAGAAAGTTACACTTTGGATTTGAAGATAATGATTCTAATTACTTTAGTCCTTTATAATGGTTTTTTTCGGTGAATACTATTTCATGCTTTACTTGTTACACTAAATTTGGATTTGAAAATTGTTTAGTCCTTTATATTGGTTTTTTAAATACTATTTCAATTTATATTATAATCAAGTAATCATAAATATAATTTTTTTTTTTGGTGGACACTAGAAAAAAAAAGAAACGACATAATTTCCTTTTTGAAATAGGAATCGTAAGGTTTTGTTCTTTAGCTTCCTGTACAAAGGGAAAAAGGTGAATTACGCATGAACAAAAAAAAAAACAGATTGCAGAAGTCTTTTACATGGGAGATCGACAACTTCTCCGAAAGGAATTCTCCATTAAAGAACCAGATCATTAGCTTTCTTAAACTCAATTGTCTTGATTTTGTACACATATAAACGTGTACGTACGTATAGCCCTAAATAGGGTTTATAATCTGGTTTCTTTCTTTCTCTCAGGTATGTTATGATTCATCCCAAGGGAGACGACGTTGATGATCACTTGTCTCTCTATCTGTGCGTTGCGAACCCTAAATAGCTGCAACCTGGATGGAAAAGGCGAGCCAGCTTGCGCTTCGTTATATTGAATTAATCAGGCAAAGAGATCCATACAACATGTGGTAAGATAACTTACCTTCCAAGTCTGAATCTGTAAGAGGCAGAAACTAATACATCTACATATATCTCATTGACGAAGATATCCTTTGATTTGTCATATATACAGAAGGATCTGAAAATTTTCGAGGTGAGATCCCTGCCTGGGGTTTCCGAAAGGCGTTGCCTTAGCAAGTTACAGGATAAAGAGTACTTGTTGGAGAACAATACACTCGTGGTTGAAGTCTACACTAACGTTCTTGAAGTTTTTTATAGAGGAGACAAAACTGGGGAAGAGATGTTAGATTTCAGAGGCTTCCATGTTCTTTCTTCTCAAGTAAGCTAAGATTCTCCCAAGATATTGCTGTATATACAATATACAACCTGATTTTTGGATCTTGTTTCACATAATTATATATATGTTTCTCGTTGTTGACCAGGTTATTTCACTGAGCCGGATTCTTGCGAAGCACCCAGACTTTGCAGTGGATATCAAACCAAAAAGCAAAGCGGCGAAGACAGCATACATGACAATCCTCCTAGACCTTGTCAAGACGCTAGATAAACCTCCAGAGAGCATATCAGAGACAGAACTAACTAAGGGTTACAGCAGGTTGTTTGTACTAATCGAAGTGGGCTTCAAGCTGGACTGGTTGAAGTCAAAGCTTGATCAGGTTTCCTTGGGGAAGAAGAAGAAAGAAAATGATGATGCGGCTCGGGTCCAAGAACTCGAGGAAAAGGTCAAGAATCTTGAGCTGATGTTGTCTGGTCTCAAAGTTGAACTGGACAAGGAGAAGGCCAAATCTTCTACTGCTTCTCCTAAAGTTTCCTTTACGAGTACTGAGAGTTTTGGAATTCGGAAGATTGAGAGTCTTGGAATTCGGAAGAGGAGATCCGATTAAGAAAAAAAAATGCAGAAAGACAATACTATATGCTCGCCGTTTCTTTCTTCGTTTTCTCCTTGTATTAAGTTTTTCTTCAAATATTTTTGACTTAGTGTGTTACAATATATAAACTATAAATTCTTCTTTAATTCTACCAAGTTTGAATTTCACAAAAAAAAAAAAATCACATAGCAGCTCTAAAGATTCAACAACAAAACCCATTGTTGTTTTACAAAATCCAAACGTCTAGGTTACCAAAAAAAAAGCATTGCGTCCTATCAAACGAGAAAACTCGACTTTATTAATCAATTTCAAAATCAGTAACAACCCCATAAAATTTTAGACCTAAATAATTTAGACATGTAAAACCCCAAAGAGTCACAAATAAATCTTTATAATAATTTATTTAATAAATAAGAGATAATGATAAAAGATATATTGGAGATAATCCAAAATATATTGGTGTGCGGTTGCGCTTTATCAAAATATTCTGTACCTATCTCAAGGCTTAGGAAACGTGATGATAAAACAATATAAGTGGAATCATATATATGTTTCTTTCTTGGTAGTTGAATGGCGCCTCTTCCTTGATCTCTAAGAGTCCGACTAAACCTAGAAAATTCCTCTTTGTTCCTCCCTTGAAGAATTACCAAACCCCTAAAATTAAGAGAGCGTTTCTACAAGCCATATGGGGAACTACAATGAGAAGATGACTCACACTTTGGAGATAGACAACTTCTCCCACAGGAATACTCCATTCACGTCTCCTCTGTTCTCAAGCGGATCCGGCAACTGGTAAAAACAAGGAATTAAGCTATAGCTTCAGTTTCTGATTACACATGTTAATGACTAACTAATTAACTATGTTTTGTTTTGTTTGTCTAGGTTCGTTACGGTATATCCCAAGGGAACCCTTACTAGTAAAAACATGTCCATGTACCTATATGTTCCAGATCCTCTCTTACGGCCTCGCAGTTGGGCGAGAGATACATGGTTTCGCTTCGTCGTGGTGAACCAATCCAGCGTTCTCAAGTCAAAAAGTTTTGGTAAACTCTTTTCTTTTTATTCCACTAACATGAAAAAAAAAAAAATCAAAGTAGTACTCGTTTTTTCTTCAGATATATAGCAAGTTACTACTATCTAGAAATGAATTTTTATTTTATTTTTGTTTATGTCTATACAGAAGCTTTTCGCATCTTTGACAAGGGACGCTCAGGCTGCGGTTTTACAACGGACTTGTGTCTTTCCAAACTTCAAGAGAAGAAATTTCTTGTGAACGACAAACTCAAAATCGAAGTCCACATAAGTGTAAGTTACAATCGTGGTGCAAAAGATCCATATGAGTTACCCGAAAAGAAGAATGAGATGGTGAATGTCAATGGCTTTCAAGTTCTTGATTCGCAAGTAAAGTCAGCAAACTGGATTTTTACGACTTACCCAGAAACTGCATTGCATATTCACCCACGAGATCCACAGGTTAAGACGGCATACATGAACATTCTCCTCACAATGTACGAGAAACTTTATAACAGTCCCCTACACGAGTTCACCGACGAAGATCTTGCTAACGTTTTCAAGGGTTTGCTTGACCTGAGACAAGCTGGTTTCAAAATGGGATGGTTGAGGAAAAGGCTCGAGAAGGTTTTCGCGGCGAGAGAGAAACTCTCTGGTTTGGAAGCTCAGGCTCGGGAACTTGGAAAACAGTTGAAGGATCTTAAGCTGCAAATCTCAACGCTGAGATCAAGTTGTTGAAGGATCTTAAGCTGCAAATCTCAACGCTGAGATCAAGTTGTTAGCAAGAGGACTAATTACATTATGTTCTTTTAAGTAGGGTCTTTCTAGTTCTTCAGAATATCTTATTTTATTCATTTATATTGTTTTGCACCGGGCTTTGATTTAGACCTAATAAGAGTTTTTTCATGTGTTTTCATCACCACAACGTTCGTTTATTTACATTGTATGCATGTTCTTAATTTAAGTAAAAGACGTAAATACCCCGGTTCTTTACTAAACTTTACCGATTGTAGTGGGTCAAGATTAGGCCCAATTAAGCCCATAAACTCTTTAGAAGCCTCTCGATGAAAGGTGAGTCACTGAATCCAGTCGGCGTGTGTGTGCTTTTCTCCTTTTCCTCCGTTTACGTTCTCCGACTTGCTCGGCCAAGCGGTTAGTTAACGGCACGCGCCGATAATCCCGACGCCCCGCCGTTTCTTCGAATTTGCACTTAAGCTTTCCCTGTTCCGTCGACGGTTTCCGTAGTGATCCTTTTACTGGAAAAAGGGGGGAGTTTTTTGTTTGGCTGTGTGATCCATCTCTGAGCTCGCCAATGGCTAACAAGTCACTGAATCGGCTTCTATGGAATTTCTGTAAGCTCTAATTACTCTCGACTTCTGGAAAACAGAGTGTTCAACACTGAGAAATCACTTGATGGACGGGAATGTTGAATGTGAATTTAGTAGTCAGATGATTCATGGTTTTGTGAATTTCCGTATGGTTTCTTTAAATATCCACTGAGTGTTAATATGTTTGATATGAAAGTTTTGAAATTTTGGTGAAGATTCTTTAAAAAAGTTCAGTTTTTTTATATATTATTTTCAGTTGTAGAAGATTCACCGTTCAAGAAGAGACGTGGGTTATATCAAGGAGTTGTTTACAATGTAATCAAGCGGTTTCAGTCGCACTTATCAGAATCAGGCAAGGTAGAAAAGGAGCTAGAAGAACGCGAGGCCAACAAAACGCCAAACTTCTCTTCTTCGAGGTCCGAATTAGAGAATAAAAGACGGTTTGAGTCAGGAATCGACAGCGATAGCTCCGGTGATGAAGATACAGGTGATGGAAAGTGGAAACTTGACTTGGCTTGGCTCACAAAAGCACTTGAGCCTGCTGTTCAATTGCGTAGATGGGCTCTTCCAACAGGTCTATATCGTATATATAAGTTCTTGGTTTGATTCTTGGTGCATCCATTGTAGTTCTTGTTTGATGTGTGTGTTTTTGTCTCCAGGGGAGAAATCACCGCCTGGTACTCGATCTCTGTCAGAGATCATCGCTAGTATTCAGAAGAGTAAGCTCGGGATCGAAGGTTGGACTCTCGGTGATCTTACGATCGGTCTCTATCTCATTTACCTAAGACAAGCATCCTTGTCTCCATTTGATGATGTCAAGGGCGTAGAAGTTGATTCAGAATCTACAGTAAGAGCGTTGTCATAGTCATTGTCTTGTTAGATGATAAGTTCCCTTATTACCAAATTTTCTAAGCAGCTTTGTTTGTTTTTCTTTTTCAGGTTTATGATCTCATATACAACGCGGAGTTAGCAAAAGGCTGTTACAGGGACAGTGTGAGTGGTCTCGCGAGGAACACGATGCTCCGAGAGAACAACATTCTTAAGTTTGTGAAAGACTCGAGCGTTATGAGGCCTGGCTATTACGTAGGAGTTGACCATAGAAGGAAACTCGTAGTCTTTGGAATACGCGGGACGCATACGATCTATGATCTTATCACTGACATTGTCTCTTCAAGCGACGAAGAGGTCACGTTCGAAGGCTACTCGACCCACTTTGGAACCGCTGAAGCTGCACGATGGTTCCTTAACCACGAATTGCAAACTATAAGAAAGTGCTTGGAGAAATACGAGGTGAGGATAATGATCATTGTTGTTCATTTTGCTGCTGAGACATGAGAAGGATGGATTTTGATATTGCAATGAACGTATCCGTAGGGATACAAGTTAAGGCTTGTTGGTCATTCTCTCGGCGGCGCTATTGCTTCTGTAATGGCGATAATGCTCAGGAAAATGCCAAGGGAGGAATTGGGATTCGACGCTGAGATTATATCAGCGGTTGGGTATGCGACACCTCCTTGTGTCTCCAAAGAGCTTGCAGAGAATTGCTCTGAGTTTGTGACAACTATTGTTATGCAGGTCAGAACAAGAACAAGAGGGAGAAAAAACCTTCTTTTCTTGATCAAAGCTTTGATGAAAATTACTCTCTTCTTGGAACTCACTGCATTTTTCCGCTAATTTCAGGATGATATAATACCTAGACTAAGTTCAGCTTCTCTAGCGAGACTGAGGGATGAAATCCTTCAGACCGATTGGTAAGCAAACACTTCTCTTCTTGAAAACTCTATTACCTTTCTACAATGTGTTTGGTTAACTTACCGACATGGTTTGCAAAATGCAGGACAAGTGTTATCGAGAAGGAAGAATGGAAGAGCGTACTGGATTTGGTAACAAACGCGAAACAAGTCGTCTCCTCTGTGCAAGACGCAGCTCGAAAAGTTTCTGAATATGCAAAATTCGGAAACAAGAAAGAGTTTCCAGGTAACTATCTACTTTCAAACGTTACTCTCGTCTCATTAGAAGATTTATCATATAGTTTACGATTCAACTAGTCTCATCTTTGGTGATCTTGACCAGAACTCCCTTCGTCCAAGAACGATCGGTCTGATACATTAATCTCTGAATCAACGAATAAAGATGTTGTAAAACTGCCGGAAGAGTTATATGTACCAGGCGCGGTTTACTATCTAATGAGGAACCTCAGAGGAAACCCGAAGAGCGCATCAAGGAAAAGAGTAGAATACTTTAGTCTATGGAAGAGAGATCCAGGACAACATTTTCAGAGGATACTTCTCTCAGGTAATTTCATTACAGACCATAAATGTGATAGCCATTACTATGCTCTGCGTGATGTGCTCAAAGGATTTCCCAGTTTCGTCCACGAAAGCATCTTTAACAAGAGATGTAAGTGAGAATGTATCTGGTTATAGAACGTAACGTTTCAAAGTATGTCCGCTAACATTTTAAGAATAAATACTCAGTTTATAACAGCTTTGAGAGTGTTTTATTGTAGAAATTTATTAAAGTTCAATGGAAAGCTAGCTTTGATTGGATTTACTTTTATATGTAAATAATACTTGCATCAGTGTTTGTTTGTGCTTGACAACATATAATAATATCCCATATATAATTGTGAAAAATAAAGTTGATAAACTTTTCTTTTAATCCCGTTCATACACGATTCTCCAATCTGTCGGCCTCACAATTCACTCCACCGATCCCAAAAAGTATTTATAATTATAACTGATGTGTTATTTTGTCCAATCTTTTCTAATGTATCTAATAATTTATATATATTGTATTGACAATGGATGAGAAAATAAGCTAATATTACACTAAAAAGCATGAATAAAATATTTGATGAAAGTAGAATTAGTCACTGATTGGGAGCTACTTGCTACTTTTAGGCACTTAAGAGTAGTGGGTTTAATGGTTTATAGCAATGCAGAGAGAGACCCACAAGAAAAGAAAGTGAAAGTTACGTTTTTTGAGTTTCCATATAATTTCATCTTTGGTTCTTTTCAATCTCGTCTTTCCGTGGCCTTAGCCGCCGCATTTTGTCTCGTGAGTTTCTATTATAGGTGTATCCTTTTGTATGCTAATAAATTAATCATACTATTACTTTTTCAACGTATGTATATCAATTAAAAAATTAGATTTCTCCGAAGATTCATCTAGTAAGTATTAGACTAGGCATAAGTAAGAAAAAAAATATAGACTATGCAAATAGTTGTTATATTAGAAAAAACGAATTATTAGTGGGTGGTGTTGGCTTATCTTTGATTTAGGCAACTGGATGAATTCGATGTATATACAAATGGGAACATGAAATAAGTGGACCACTAATTATGTCTTGTATACTTAAGATGATGTTCCATATTCTAATTAGAAAAACTTTTGACGTTATATGTATATACTATGATCGACAAAAATGCTATCTACAGTTGTTATTTAATTATATTTTGCATCTTCTAAGAACAATAATAGAAGTTTTTCATATGGTAAAATGTATCTACTAATAGAAACACAGCACGAAGGCTAGAGCACTTCGAAAACTCAAACTGTCACTGACTATAATAATGTGTGATTATTTCTGTTTGTACTTTAGTTTTTATCAGAGATTAAAACATTTTTGTGACCAAATATGTAAGTAGTTTTACTTTTGGTGGTTGCTGACCTTCTAAAGGGAATTTCCAGAAAATCAGAGTAATTAAACTTTATTTTGAAAGGGGTTTTAGCCCCGATGAAGAGACTTATGAACTTTGGTCCAGATCTTCTCGGTTTAACTAACCATAGTAACAACAAAAACAAGATTTTGAATAATTTGAAGCGGAAGTTTGAATTCAGAAACACATATTCAACCACCTACGTAAAAACCTTCTTTTACCAACGACTAGATTAATATACTAGAATTAAGATTTATACCTGATTCATACTCCGTATAATTTAATGCTTGTGTTCCTTTTGGGTATTATATGCTCCAGATCCATGCTCATATAAAAAATTATTTTAATCACTTTTTGTTACTCATTGTGAGGAATAAACTTAGTTCACCTTTCTTAGCTTAAGACCTATTTCGCAATTTTTTTTCAGAAAAAAAAGGAACTATTGATTTAGTTATTTTTATAATAACTTGAATCGAAATATTTTCGCTTTAATTTTAAGTCGACATGTCATCCCTCGACTTATTTGAAAGGACAACTTTTGTTTGCTAATTCATTGTATTACGTTTACTAAACCATTCCCTTGTATTAAGGTTTAGGCTTTGAAATGTTGCCTCTCCCGTTTAAACTAAAGTACGCACGCCTAACTATTTTATTATATGCAAGACATATTAAACGAACCCCTTTATTTAATAATATATTTCGTTGATTTGAAATGTACCCATTTGACAAGAAAAATAGTTATTTCGCATATATTAAACCAACAACAACACTTCACGGGGTTTTTTTGTCCATCTCAATTTTAAACTCAATATTTAACTAAAAGCTTATTTAGTTTAGGGATGTAGATATTATTTTTGCTAAAGGGTTCAAGTTTGTAGATATTGATGGTACATGCGTTACATATAGAGAGTGCATGCGTTATACATTTTTATACTATACCGATACGATGTAGAGTTTGGGCTTTGGGGTGTATATATCTCATTATAAGGTTAGCCATAAACAAGAGTCTGAATTCCACCCAAAAAAAAAAAATTAGACGGTGACTTTCGTTAAACGAAAATTACTGTTTCGATATGTTTTTACCAGGTCAAAGGATATGTTTTTTTATCAAAACACCAAAGCATCCATACCATTTAATTTGCAATCATTGTCACAGACTCGTAGTATATCAAATGTGGAGGGGAAGACAAGTGTACCTAACATCACTGAGAATCCATCGACATTATATATAGATCTACATGCGTACGTGCACGTAATACATCAAACGAATCCACTCATGGGATTATATGTTTGAATATATATTATTATCATTATTATATGTATATGTCCATATAATCTGAATATAATTTATTGTATACACTTGTGTGTAGCTTTAACTATATTTATAAATCATCTTAAGTATTTAAATCAGCCAAATTCCATATACGTGTGACGGATCCACCTTGTCGGGGTTGACCGTTGTCAAGCTAAAACATGTCAGTATCATTTTCCAGCATTTTGCATTTTCTCTTAATTCATTATCAAATAACGTACAAATTTAAACCTCAATGCAGATAAAAGATGACATAATCAGATGGTTTTTTTTTTTGGTTCTTTGAATTATTTATTCAGATAATCAGTTTTAAATCTTCGTACAAAGAAACAACAAAAAAATGACAAGTCCTTTCGTTACACCAAGAGGCCTCTAACACATTAGCATACGTTATATACGTATCACTACAGCTGGGTTGAACGTGAAATTTGGAAATATGTTTAATGTATAAAGTTTATGAAAAGTGTGACACAAACAGTTTCTTTATTTTTTAGTTAAAAAGGAATCATATAATGTAGCATATATAGCAATCAAATTTTGTTTCATATTAAACTTTTTCTGTTGTATGGATCGACAACCCTGACGTACCCATTCAAACGTAAAATATATATATCAAGTACTATACAGTGTCTCCGTTGTCTCTACTATACATTGGCTCTTTCTTTCACAAAATATGTTTCTTTGCTAATTGCTCATTGGTTACAAACTAACAAGATGCACGATAAAATCTTATCATTATTAATAAATACGGTAACCGGTCTTAGTCGAGTTTCTTGATAATGAAATGCAATTATAAGGTAAGATGGTTATTTATTTCTTTACAAGTTAGAATGTATTTGGTTTTTCATTTTCGTTTTAATTTGGTTTTTTTGTCAGTTTTGTATATTAAATTTGAACCAAACTTGTTTTAGTTTGTTGATTTCAGGTATAATATTACTCTCTTTAGTTTTAGAAAAAAAAAATCTATGTTGGTTTAGTTTTGGTTATAAATTAGCAGGTCGACCAAAAAAAAGCTTATAAAATTTCAGTCCAGTTTATATTGCCGGTGCTACGAATTCCAACAGAGACTTAAACGTTAAATAAAAAAAATAAGATAGGAGGTCAGGATTATGTTAAAAGAAAATCCATGAGAATTTTCAGTAGTTGACTGTTGATATTTAAATTCTTTAAATATACTGATGAAAGACGAAGAAAAGATGAAGATCAAGAAAATGAATATAGTATGAGTGTTTGGTACTTGTTTGTAGCTTCTTCCTTTTGTACTGGCTATAGTAAGCTTTTTTGCATATCAATTAGATTACACAAAATTCCAATTTTATCATTAAAAAATCCAGGCCAATTGTATATTTTTCTTAAAATAAATATAATGGATAAGACAATGAACAGGCGTAGGCCACTAAGTAGACAAATTTTGATTAAACAATGTAATATTATATGAAACCCACCTACATCTTCGTCTTTATAAAACTTTCCCCTAAGCTAATGCAGCTCCATTACTCAAGGCTAATTATAATCATCATTCATCAAATACCATGACTGGCTCTGGCTCTCCTTGTGGAGCCTGCAAGTTCTTAAGAAGGAAATGTGTAAAAGGATGTGTGTTTGCCCCATACTTTTGCCATGAACAAGGAGCTTCACAGTTTGCAGCCATTCACCAAGTTTTCGGAGCCAGCAATGCTTCTAAATTGCTCTCTCATCTACCCATGGAAGAACGATGTGAAGCCGCCATTACAATCTATTATGAAGCTCAAGCTCGCCTCCAAGACCCCATATATGGCTGCGTTTCTCATATATTTTCCCTCCAACAACAAGTAAAATATATATATACATAACTTATTCCTCTATATATAAATATTCTTGATTTTGGATATAACAAAATGTGAATGTCGTATAATGTAGATGTATGAATCATGAGTGTTGTGTGGTATTATGTGTAGGTTGTGAATTTACAAACACAGCTAGAGATTCTAAGACAACAAGCAGCACAAAGCATGATGGCAGTTGATTCCCCATCCATAGAAAACCCTAATTATTATCGAGACACTAAGCCTACACATCTTCAAGAATCTCAAGCTCTATATCATCCCCATAATAATCATCATCATGACAGAAGTTTGGAGATAGAGCCCAACTCCGACTTAAAGAATATCATGATGAGCACTTACTCTGAATCAGATCAACAGTTGAACACTTTTAATCAGTATCATCATGGCTGCAATGATATTCTATCCGCGAGTTTCGGGTACATCTCGTACTCGTGATGAGTTTTGTGGAGATATGGAATATCATGATCAAGAAGCGAAATAATTAATATATAATTAAATCTTATATATATTAGTTTATCATGAATGAAATATTTTTGTTTAATTTAGTTTCCATTTGATATTAAGGTAGATTTTACGTAAGCTTATAAGGTCATATTGTTTCTACGTAAACTATATATTACATCGGAGTCAAATTGTCAAATATATTATTGGGAAAACTACAAATGGCAAATCCCCAAGCAGCTAAACTTACGTCGTTGGGGAAATCTGTTTTGGACATTCTAGCTAGGCTAATGATTTCCGCCTTTTCTATTCTTCGGAACAAAAAGCAGCAAAAAATTATTGAATCTACTTATATATGTTTTTGGCTATATATATATTACGTAAGGTTCTTCTTTTACAATCGATGTTTTCGATTTTGTCGGTGTAACTCTTTCTTTGGTATAATTAAGTTAGGATTTTTGTTGTCATTCTAAATAAATAATAAGCCGGGTTCAAATGGAGTTGAAAACATCTTTAATTTGTACTATTAGAGTTCCAACTTCTTCTCTCTCTCTTTTTTTTTTTTGGTTTGGAGAAATTTTCCAATTGTTATAAAATATTATTGTCTGTATAGTAATACTCGTGATATATACAGAGAATGCTCGTGAGCGTGACATACTTACTATAAGTTAGTCAAACAATTAACAGTTATGCGAAAAGCTGTGGCTACCCAAAAGCATTTTTATCTTATTATTAGAAATTTAGAATTCTGATCAAGTTGCCTCTCGTTAACTGTATATGTCACATAACTATTATAGGGGTTTTAATGTCAATGTTTCAAGCACATTCTTAACATAAAAAAAAAAAACCACAAAAAGAGAGAAAAAATCAAAAAACAAAACAAATTCAAGCCAATGGTTATGTTAAAATACGAAGAATCAAAGAAGTAGAGTTTCTCGTACTGGTAATAGCAGCGTATTATTATTAAACCCGTATAGGCCCGTTTATAAAGCCTATTGGGCTTGCTTTTCTTAATAATGGGCTTAGAACGTCTAACTACCAGCTAATTTATTAAAGAAAAAAAAAACACAAAATTACATCAATACTCACGACCTCGGAAAAGAAACTGTGAGATGGGTCCCAACGAGCAAGCGACTTCCGCTCCGGCCGCACGTGTGATATTACTACGGTCAAAGACTTTGACTGTACTTAAGCTACGGGCCCACGTGCGTTAACTCCTGCCGTTTCAATCCCTTTCTTAAGAAGATGACAATACTTCGTGTTTATTATTCCCTGTCAGTTGACACGTCATTCTATTCTACTAAAATAATCGCATTGTACTAATGTAGCTGTTTTAACAATAATGCTCTCTGATTATATAAATAACCTTTACACATCCAAATATGAAGTAAATTGATTATAAGCTTTTTTCCATTTCTCTCAATATTGATTTTATATATTTCCAAAACATGTATTGGCTTCTTTTACATATGATGAATAATAAACATATACGTTCTTGCTAATTGTCTAAATGGTGATATCATGCTTTGACCACCCTCTTTTGATCTGTTCTTCTATAGTAGATAAAATATTAGAAAGAGTTAATAAAATTGGTCTTTGGTAATGGGCTCGAAGAGTTAGGATATTATTTAATAAACATACACGCATATATATAAACGGCTTGACTAAAGAGTAGGCATCGCCGAATTCTTGTTCATGATCACAATCATAATAACCTTTTGATTGGAAACTTGGTTTCGAAATGCATTTTTTAAACAATTTCGATGTTTCCCACCGAAATCATAACCTACTTTAAAATATCTTAAGATCGACTATATGCATTTTATTAAACGTCGACAATGATCTATGTATATTAATGGTTGTCAACTTATTCAAAAGTTTTTAAAGTTAATGTACTTGAACCTTTACTTTTGGTAATATATTCAACTTATATCCAAAAAAAAAAGTTTTAAAAATTTCTCTTTGGAATAAAATATTTTAATATGCGATGTCGTCCAAATTTCTAATCGTAATTATACATGTCGAAGTAACCAACATTTTGAAGTAATAAGGTGACACGTTTACTGAATAAATGGTACTATGCCACATGAAAAACAAAAGATAGACTGTCTAATTAAATGTCAAACTAATTACCCAGGTGAAGTATTGGAGTATTTTGTAAACGTCTAGGTAGGTGATTAATCAGACTTGGTTTCTGTTTTACTTATTAATACCTTGTTCAAAATGCATTGATTGGGTTACCTCGAGATTATAAACCACAAAGTCCTTTCTTAAAAGACTAAAAGAGCACTTGTGACTTTAGGTGTGGACAACAACCGAAGCTTCTTGGTTGGGAATTGGGTTAGAATTAGATGAGATTGATTAAAGTTGGCAAAGCAAAACTAATTAAAGATCATTAATTTAATTTAATTTACAAGATTGCATACAATTTAGGGGACACATTGTCTAATAGGACCACTACACTTTCTACGGGGGATTGGTGCTATCATAATTAACTAGACACTGCTTAGTTAATGTTAGGTAAACATGTTTATTAAATGTTATATTAAAGCGTGGTTCATTTATACTATTACTAAATTTTTATCGTGGAAGTGATTTTCGATGATTTGTTTCTCTGACAGACAATCATAACATCCATTCCTCCTATGTTCTTCAAATTGTTTTTCTTTTATATTTTTGTTTTAACATTAGTTTTATTTTTTCTTTATTTTTTCATTCCTTATCAATTTATAGTAAAAATAAAGTTGACTTGTTCATATTATTTCTGTATCGTCTAGAGTAGACCATATACCTTTTAGCCTTCATAGAGATGCGAAAAATAAATTGTTAGTTGACATACACAGATCAATTCATAGATATGGTGAAACTATAATTCGTAACGAGCCAAATAGATTATGTACGTATGTAATGAAATCATACATAAACTGAATCAAAATTAAAGTCTTGAAGATTTGTAATAAGTGTGTCCTGGGATTTAAAGTCAACGCCTTGGATGCGGCGCACACGTCTACAATTATTATTAAACAAACTCATACAAGGTGACCGAGCTCTGCCTGCATAGAAGTGTTTCTATTACAAATACAAACCTATAAAATTCCCTCATACTTTAATTTATTTGTACCCTTGTGATAGTTTTTCATTTCTATTACACTAAGAGACAATTTGTTAGTGTCGAGTGGACAATCCTCAATTAGTTACTTCTGAACTCATTTTTTTGTGTGGGAAGACGAAAGCTTATGATAATATAAGACATGTAATCATCATGCGTGAATAATAGAAGTATCTATATAGTTCAACAAATGAAGCTACTGAACCATAAGCAGATCTATTGTTTTCTCGTTTAAAAGATTTGTAATGGCTCAAGTGTTTATGTTGTGAAATTCTTCGTTGCATAATTGGTCTGTTTCCCCAAAAAAATCTTAAGATTTTATCGACTTATTTTATAGATCACTATAACAAACAGAAACAAAATCTTGTGCGGTAAAATGTTCTAAAAATCTGCACATACATCAAAATAATCTGTACTATAAAAGAACCTATCTAACCTCTAGCCGTATTGTATTGGTTACGGTTAATTATGAATTATGTTGTTGTTTGTTTTGCAGATGCCGACGATCAACAACCAACTCAATTTTCATTTTGTAGCCGTTAATTCAGTAATATGTTTCGTTTAATAATTAATGACCAAACAATTTGAATGATTTAAAATTTAGAGTATAGAGATATCTTAAATGCATAGTTACATCAGTGATTACGAAATGTAAATAAGCTTTCAATAGCTAAGACATATCGTTGAACCAACAATCACAAAATAAATAATCCAAATTAAACAAACATGGATGTACTGGACATGTTTATTGATGATAGAATGCGACATCGAATGTTTTGTTGTCATTTTTGTTTCTTGTAAAAAAAAAAACATTTCATCTCATCTCTGTCTGTCTACATGAGTTACCAACTTATTTTAGTTCTTCATCATTCTAAGAGCCAAAGCCTGAAGCTCACCTAGATCGCTATTACAATAACTCACTGATCTCTTCTTGTTAGGATATCCTTCGTGAAACCCTAACCCGCCTTGACCGTATACGTCTCCTCCGGTTTGAAGAGTCTCTCGCACGTTAGTTGTTGTCGTGACATCACTGCTCGTGTTGCTGAAAGATTCTTCTAGCGAGCTCTGTGGCGAGACTGGATTGTTAGGGTTTACGTGACCGTAGTAAGGATGATGATGATGGTTATATGGTGTTGAGTAAGCACTGCCAATCGGAGAGCCACTAGTTTGTTGCCACGTCGTGAATTGATGAGTACCTTCCGAGCTGTTTCTTAGATCTCCGGCGGCTGACGTCTGGTGGCCGGCGATCTGTGCCTTCATTTGCATAACTTGTGCTTGCAAGTAAGCCACCTATGTATAAATGAATTAAACGCTAAGTTAAACAAAAATTGATTCAGTTCTATTTAAATGTTGAGAGCTCATAGAAGAATTAGTAAAAAAGCTCCTTCTTCATCAACATGAAAATGTTTTATAGACTATAATTTTTATTGAAATCGACACTAAAGTTGTTTGCATCTTTATGCAAATTTAAATGGTATTTCTAACATATTCATACGTAATTTACATAGTTATAATGGTTCATTTTATATGAATTATAAACGAATCATGAGACATATGTATGCTTACTTATTTAAGCATTTAGTGAATATCGACAAAATTTTCAGAACATCTAATGTTGTTTAAACATTTATCTTTATAAATTGTATCTCATTCAGTAGAAGAAGGTTAGTGTCGTTTTCTTCTATCATTTTGAAACGGAAAAATTAGTATCGTTTATTTTAGATTTTTGGCAAATCGAAAATGCCAAACGCAAAAAAGTAAAATTTCATGACAAGAATTTATTCAAAAACTGATTACTAATAGTTGTAACGTTTCCTAAAAATTATATAATTAAAATCTCAAACGGTTATGAATTTTTGTATAAAAAACCCTAATGCAAATACAAACATTTTGATGGGAAAATAAGTTGATATTAAGCCCTTAAGATTTGCTGCAAATCAAACAAGATTTGGAGAAATATTAACTACATGCACTACATCTCATTCCAATCAACCACCATATAATCACATATTTGGCAATATAAATTGATGGACCAGACTACCGATTGCTCGGTTGATTTACCTGTTGTTGGAGGGCAAAAATATGTGAGACACAGCCATACACAGGATCATGAAGACGAGCCTGAGCTTCGTAGGCGATGGTGACAACAGCTTCACATCGATCATGCACTGGGACATTGAGCAAGAGCTTAGAGACGTTGCTGGCTCCAAAAACCTTGTGAATAGCTGCGAATCTTGCTGCTCCTTGTTCCGATGAGAAGTAAGGTGCGAATATACAATCCGATGCACACTTCCTCCTCAGGAACTTGCACGCACCGCACGGTGAACCTGTCCCTGCCGTTGTGCTGTTACCGGAAGAGGCCATCGACGAAACAAACAAACAAAAGTGATGATTTTTATGTTATGTTGTACTAAAAGAAAGAAGGATTCTCTGTTTTTGTTATCTTTTAATTTTTAGACTGTTCTTTTTAGAGAGGTGTTAAAAAGATTGGAAGAAGTGATGATTTTAGAATTGGGATCGTCGGAGATGTGCACGAGCGAACTAGAAAATGGGGATGGAGGAAAAAGAAAAAGAAATGAAATGATGATGGAGAAGGTGTTGGTGTCTTTGGGTGGATTTTATAAAAGGAACATTATGATGAGAGAGAATAGGTACTTTTCTTGGGCCGACTTATTTTATATGTTCACTCACAATGATCATTTACAATCACATAAATATGATAGTACTATTTTAATTAGTTTTTTGGTCTACCATATTGTGTCATCTTTTTATATAAAATGCTTTAATTCTCCATCACTAGAGTTTGAGCCATACTTATCGTTTCGTTTGGAAATTGTAATATATGATGAAGCTATACATCTAATACCATTTTTTCTTTATTTGATATGGAGTTAAGAGTATGTTAGAATTTGCTTTCACAAGGATTATGTTTCAACTTTCAACTAGGATTGGTTTAATAAAAATGGTGGGCTAAAAAATGATTATTTTTATATATTTTATTTGAAAACTTTAGATAATATTATTTTGAAAATATATATCTATCGAATCATTCATATGTTTTATATATAACCCAAAAGGAACTATATAAAGAATACATATCTGAGTTATTTGATAAAAATATGTGTTCAAAATAATATTATTTTAGAAGATATAACATGTAAAAATCGTGATTAGCAATGAAATGTTCATTTTTTTAATTTTATACAATTTACACGGTTAAAATACAAAATTGAATAAGTGAACATGGAGTGATAGATGCTACTTTGATAATATTACATACGTAAACTTGATATGATAGGTTGAAATTCCTGAAATGTTCAAAACATAAAAGATGTTGAAAAGAAAAACATGTAAAAAAACCTTAAATTTAATATTTTAGGAGAAGTGATATAAGCACACTATTAGTTCGGTAGACTGATCATGAACTAAGTAAAGATCATGTATACATGCAAATGTATAAGAGGAATTGCCTTCTGTATAATAAAAAAGACCAGTTTACTTGCACAATTAACATTCAGCGAGGTTCTAATTTTTTTATCGAGTGAGCCAATGGTAGACAATGCAGGGCCACATGTTGGATTCTAAGGAGACAATCAATAATGGAGATTGCAACATGAGACTTCTATTTTACTAAAATTTAATCTTTTTTGAAGTCAATTATTGGATTTTAATTTAATTACGCCAGCTTCTTTTCTTTTCATTCGTGGATTTATATAGAAAAATATCCATATTCTTAGTAATGAGGTAGTCTTAGGTCTTCCATCACTTTTTCTCGTATTATTTTATAACAGGATACGTTTGGTATTTTGGAGCTTCATCAAAGCAAGCTCAATTAATAATTTATTTTGTTCTATCTGCTTTTGTTCTTTAATCTTCTAATTAGAAAAAAAAAAAAGTTGTTTATAAGTTCTTCCGCCGAACGCCGGACATTGGAACTGCTGCTGTTTGTCGTGACGTGTGGGAACCGGGTAAACCGGCAAATGCCGGTAAAAGTGTACCGACAAATGTTAATGCCATGAAATGTATTTGGAGGTAGTATACTTGTTAATTACGTAATTATAAACCATTTAAACTCCCTTTATGACAAAACAAAACACTAAAAGCTCTTAAAATTGATTGATTGTGCTGGATCTGCTTAGGTGGCTTAGGAATATTCGGTTACATGGAGTGAGTGTGTAGCTGGTACAGACTGGGATTCAAATCACCTGAGGAGATTATCAGAAATTTAATATTGTTTTATATATGCCAAAAGATTTAATATTATGTACTTGCGGATTTTGTACACGAGAGACAGATCGTGTGATGCGATTAGAATAGTGTGTGCATCAGTGCATGTGACTTACACTTAACGCTCGTGTTCTTAAAATTACTTGGATATCATATAATTATAGTTGGTAATTTTGTTATTAGCAATGTTTTCCAATCAGTCAGCCAAAAAAATAGAAATAAAATACGATGATATAAAGAATTTCGATAAAAAGTATTAATTATAGGAAAAAATGAAGTAAAGCATTTCAGCCCTATCCTGCAACTTGATATCTAAATGGGCCGTTCATTGACCCAATGAATGGTATGGTTTGTTAAAAAAATTGCACCAGCCGCGAATCGAACCCGGGTCTGTACCGTGGCAGGGTACTATTCTACCACTAGACCACTGGTGCTTCGTTGGATACCTACTAATTTTATAAGTTGACTTTACTATATCACTCTACGACTGATTACGTTCTCCCTTTTCTTTTGTTTTTTTGGGTCAAAGTGTGAACAAACTTTCTCATATTTAATTCCAGTATATGTTATTGTTAAGAATATAGAGTTATGTACTTATGTATGTCACGCGGTTCGAGATATCAACAAAAACAAAATAAAGAGATTCTTGGGTTGGAAAAAACCGGTGAGAAGACATAACTAAAGAAGCATGTGATTTTGAGATAGAGACAGAAGTCAATGCGATTGGACAGTTAACAAATAATACAGGTTTAGCCAAATAATCTATGCGTTTGCTCAAATCAGTTTCTTACTATTACTAGAAGTCTAGAAGTAACAACCAAATCTAAAAGACGTTATGGAATGGGTGTGTGTGTAGAATTGATAACTGTTGTAGTAAAACATAAAAAAAATTGGGGGCAAATATGTAAGAAGAATAAGTATATTATGGTGCATGATGAAAGACTCTTATCTTTCACATCACTCAAACAAAAATAAAGTCATTGTTATTATTATTCATAAAAAAAGGCCAGAAGTGATCGGGAGGGTAGATATTAGAGAGGAAAGTGATAGATTCTAAAAAGGGAAAGGTGATGATGGACTGTGTATTGAATTAATTGTTGGGGGGAAATTGAAATATGTCAGATTAAATTTGTTCATGGGAAACCACAAACATCCCAAATGTATTGACCAAACATTCCATTTTCTTGTTTCCTTTTCACATCACTTGTTTTCTAATTTTATAATCTTGTCTCCTATATTCTTGGCTCTTGATCTGCATGTACTCTGTACATTCATTTTTAGTATATTATACAGTATGTACACACCTATATTATAGTTTTTTCTTATAACACATATAGTTGATATGGAGTTGTGTTTCATAAGCCAGAACAGCACTGATGTTTTAATCACAAGCCATGTACACAGTTCAAGTTTAATGGTTTCCTGTATAAATGCAGAAACATATATACTTTACTTACAAATCCCCAAATTAAGATGAAGTCCTAATTGAACTTGATATTCACAACTCACACATGTGTACATATATATATGTGTGTGATGATTTTTTTGTTGTCTTGACTTAATGGTACGTAACTTTTTTTTGTTTTGGTACGTAACATTATATTGGTCGATATGAATGGTTGAATTTGTTTCAGGGCGGCATTCTTATATCGTTATAAAATTTAATTGATAATAGCAAATTTAGATATTAGTCTAGATTTTGATTTACAAAGTCACTTTAAAAGCAAAAGAAAACAAATAGGCACAAGGATTTCATCAAACAACATATCCACAACCCGTCATGATAATTTCTTAGCTATAAACCGTCTGTAGTGAAAATGTAGAATAATACCGAGACATTTTTGGTAACGATCATAAGAGAAAGCATTTATATCTTTTTGTATCAGACAATTTAACGCATACCATGAAGTGCATTCATGGCATGCATGAGAATATTACATATATATAATTATGTATAAAGCTAAGCATTATATGTGTGATGGTGAGTGTAAAAGATGAAAACATTAACTATTCATGAGTCAATTGATCATCATCCATCTTTCTATGTTTCATAGTACCACTTTGTCGCATGCGTCTGTGTCTCATCAACCCATTCTCTATAATAATGCAATCTTTATCACTTTTTTTAATTTTCTTAATACTCACATAGTCACATACACATGCAATCCACTTTCTCTAATCTTTTCGAGCTCCTATGGACTATTATACATTGGCTATATTTATACTATACACCTTATAAACAAATACATGTATATATATACATTTTATTTTATTCGATATTTACAAATAGCATACGGGGTGATATTAATGTTAAAAAGCCAAAAATTATTGTCTTGTTTTATCATTATTTTTCTTCTTTGTTCTTTAATACATTATTGTTTATTATGGAACGGGAAATGATCGAAGAAAAAATAACACATACTCGATAACTCGAAGACCACATAAATCCATTTAAGATTAAATTGAATCTTTCATTAAGAGATCCAAACACTGTTATAGCTAGACAGTGTTAGTTAATAAAACCTCAATCATGGAGAAATATATTAAAAATATTTTTAATGTATTTTTAAGTTTTTCATTTTCTTAAAAGAAAGGTACAAAACATTATAAAGAAACTGGGTCGGCTCTTTCCAACTTTGTTTATTTCTTTTTGTCTTGCTACTTAAATTGTAACAATATTTAATATCATTAGCCTAAATGCAGTCACAATCTCTTGCTCACTGCTCAGCTATCCGTACATACATATCTAACATATAATTATGCTGTAGCATTATTAATCAAAGTTGTTTAAAGGTAACCAAGTCGAAGCTCCAAATCAAGAACTTGTTTTGGATTCATCAAACCCATCCCAAGCTCGAACCCCGTGACTTCATCTTTTTTGTTCATCAAATCCCGACGACTTATCTCACTCGTTGGAGCATGACATGCAACCATGTCACTCTTCTTGAGCTCTCTGGTACAGACATTGCTCTTGTTCTTCTCTATTTCCACCATAAAACTTCCGTAGCTAGTAGTATTGTCCAAAAGATCGAACCTGGAAGAAGAAAAAGGAGTTGTTTTGGATCTCTGGTTTGTTAGGGAAGGCTTAAGATGAGCTGGTGTTGAAGAAGAAGAAGAAAACGAGCTAAACTTTGGGTTTGGGTTAGGATTAGGAATAGGTAAGTGGTGGTGAGGCTCAAAGAGCCAAGAAGGGATCTGTCTGAGTTTTGCTCTGTCTCTTCTGTGGACATTCATATGGCCTCCAAGTGCTTGAGCAGATCTAAACTCTCTCCTACAGAAGCTGCAAGTGTAGTTCTTGGGAGGCCACGGGATCAGCCCAGCTTCGTAGTTCTTGTAGTGATTCATGATGATTCTGTCGTCACCATTAGTGCCGTCTTCTTCTTCTTGGTTTTTATGTCTGCTGCTGAAACTTGCCAAGTGTGTCCTCTTCATAT